CACTTCTTCAAGCGTCACACATTTACTGGAAAACACAGAGTGCGAAGAAAGCAGCACTCTTTTTAGATCTATGGTCTCCACTATCAAACCCAAGTTTACTTTCCCCTTTAGTAACTGTTAACTGCTGCACCTTTTATTTTAAAGGAGCTTTCTGACATCGTGTACAAGATTTGACGATTTACATATCGAAGTAACAGCAATCTGAAGTAACAAATAAAGCCATTACCTACATTCACTTCAGATGAAGCTTCAACAAGTGCACACACTGTGCTCCTTTTCTCTTAAAATCGTGCTCTAATTCAGCTTCCAATTGCAAAGAAGATAAAGCCCTCCCTCCAACTATTATGTTATAAGTATTTCACCTGGATTATTTTAAGGAAAGATTTTGTCAGAAACCCACACTAACACATACAATATTTAATTGAGCTACCAAAAGAAGATACTCCAGGGTAACCTATTTCAGCATCAGCCAGTCTAGTTTACTACCCTAAATAATGAGCTGAACAGCTGGAAACATTACCAGCAGGACACCTTCCCACCAGCAAGCTCAGGGGCTGAGCTCAGATCAACAGTGTAAAGTTTCTTAGAACTGAAGTTATCACAGCATCTGCCACGTCCTGAATGCTCATGGTACTACCAGGAGTCTCCATCACCTCTACAGCCACTCAGCAAACCTGCTGTTCAATTTCCAGTTAACTGCACTCCACTTTGGAGAAGGAGGCCTCCTCCTTTCAGCTTGCTAACACAATGTCTGAGTGTAAAGAAAAAGGGTAAAATCTCATCTGCTTTGGCTTTCTACATTCACAGTGGCTATTTTAAATTTTCTAAGTATTTTCCTTCCAAAACAATTCCTGGTTCTCCTAAGCCACAAGTGAAGTTGCAAAGAATTAGCTAGCATCAGTATCAAGCTTTTGTTGAACAGCTGCTTCAACTTTTCAAAAACTGTAAGCACAGAATCCCTCCCATCCCCCACATGGAGATATAATATGGAACTGTACTCTTACTGTCACAAATGGTCAGGAAAAAAAATATCTTACTGGGAAAGATGTCCATTTCTTCCCATTCTCTATTCTTAATGACAAAACAGTTTGTAATAGAATAAAAACAATACTAGAATAATAGAATACTGAAGCAGTAATACTGCAAAATGCACACTTGTAACAGACAACTTACTTTGCAATATCAAGTTTATTCACTACTTCTCTTTCTGAAGCTCAACAGAATGCAAGTCAGATAAGTGATATGCTCTTGTATCCCCCCTGCCCCCCTCCATCCATTTACCTGGCTCTTTGCTGCATTCCCAATGGCCCGTGTCCTGGATCCTAGAGATATACATGCTCTAAATAAAAAAGAGAAAAAAAAAAAAATTGAGTTTTAAAAGGAAGTGTTATAAACTATATCCACATTATTCTAAACAAAGCAAAGCCCCAAAAACTACAGTGAAAGAATACGGTTGTGGTACTAACAGCATTACTGTATCAAGCACCAGAACTTGCTGTGGAATTCTTGCTATTTCATTCTCTGCAAATTAGTGTAGAAACTCTGGCAACCACAATTGTTCTCAAGGCATTTAGGGAATTCTTTCAAAACAGAAGTGTTCTACAGATTCTACAATAAAGATAAGGAATTAATAGTTAATTCCAGGTGATGGCTTGGAACCAAAGTAGTCTGGAACACCAAAAAGGAAGCTCTGAACGTCACCAGGCAAGTTATCTTGAAGCAAAAACCCCGGAGTCTGACAGTACTACATTCACACTGCAGGAGTAATTTCCAACAATCATTGTGAGACAGTAATTAAAAATAACACCCAAGCCTGAGGTAGCTGAGCAGCCCAACCCCACAACGCACGGGCACTCCCAGTGACAGCCAACTGCAGGCAGACACCCTACAGCTGCCAGTCATCACAGGTCTGGGAGGTCCTCAGCAGCCCGCAGCCCCATGCAGCTCTGTTCCTCTCCCAACCCCTTCACCAGGAGCACAGACACTGCACGGCTACTTCCCCAGCAGCCTTCCCTCTAGTGTCAAGAGGAAGAAAACCTGCAAGAAACACACATAACAAGGCAACAGAACTCCACTCAAAGCCCCACTAACTCCACCAGCAGCTAAGTAAAACTGGAGTAACTACCAAATTTTCTTTCTCCAACAACACATACTGCATTATGTCCTCCTCCTAGCACGTTCTACTCTCAGTATATCATCCCAGTGTGTTTCCAAGTACTGCCAACAATCCTTGCTTTTTTTCCCCACCCCCAATCACCAGCTCTGCTTGTACAGATTGGAAGTAGGATTTACTCCCATCTGGGAACGGATCTGCCTGAGGCCATTCATCAGTAACATACAACCACAACGCAGACCCATAAGGTTTAAATTTCACTGTTTAATGAATGCATAAAGGTCAGTGCAGCAGACTACTTCCTGCCTCCTCCCCACCTTCACCACACTGAGGGAGGGCACTGCATACACTTGGATAGCACCATCAACCAACTTTTCTACTCTATACACCATCACACTGAACACAGCCCTGCAGAAAGCATCCTGCCTTCCTCTGAAGCAAGGATCTGAGCAGGACAGGAACTGCTCTAACAGCGGCAGCTCTCCTCACCAAGAGACTGCAATCTTCTCCAAGCTCTGTTTTGAAGATGCTCTGAAGAATGGTTTTAATTACAGCTTGTGACTACACTAATTGCATGTGGTCTGAAAAAAAATTATTAAAGATTACGAGCTATCAACCATCAGCTTTTTTTCTGCACACTGTCACAGTGTGAGACACAGCCATTTGCCCTGCGTTCAGCAGCCAAGGCTCACTGAACGTGTGCAGCTGACCTGCTGGAGTTCTCCAGTCGGAAAAAGCCAGGTCTCAGTTAACACCAGACACCAAGGTCAGGAGCCCCAGGGAGCATTCTACATCTCCTGACATAGATAGCTTCACAACAGAACCTTTCTTTCTGCAGTGCTTATCCCAAAGATGCACATCTTATAAATGCCAACAATCCTACACCTTAAATTATAGAAGATGGGTTTGACGTAAAGGATCACCAGAATGTTTTAACCATCACGACACAGTATTCAGGACTTAATGAGCACTGCATTCAAGTGTGATAATGCACCATCTTCCACAAACATATACTGCTTTTAGGTAGATGCAAAGTAGGCTCTACTGACACCGCACTGTCCGCACCAGCACTGCACAGGTATCTGAACAGGCTGCAAAGCCCAGGTGCTGGCCATGCTCCTAAGGCCTGTGCAGAGAGCATAAGGAGCCCCATGAAGCACACCCAGCACTGCCCTCTCTTTAGGAAGCTCAGTGACACGCTGTGAATACGAGTGTCCTAGCTTGTCCAGCACTGGTGCAGGTATTTCTACTGAGCCTTACACCAACACAACAAACACCGTCGCTTGGTAAATCTGGAATTAAGTGCCAAAGTATTTGGGACACATCCTATCCATGTCAGCTCCTGGTTAACTGCAGGTTTCTGAGTGATGTAAGCTCTCCCACAGGAACAGAGAGATAAAGCGCTCAGTTACTGCGCTGTTCAGTGAGACACAGAGCACTTTGGACGGTTTTAAGTGTTACATCTGCTCAAACCCTGCTTGAAATAAGACCCAATTACTTCAACAAGCTTCTGTGATACAACCATTTTAACACTGTTAAGTTTGCTTTCAGACAACAGCATTAGAAAGGGAGTTCGTTTTCTATACTGTACTTTCCCTGTGACAATTTAGAGAAAAGGAGAGAAAATCCAGACGCGTGTATCACTGCCTGTACATACCCGTGCACCCGGTGCTATCTCACTAGCCGTGCCCGAGATCACTTTCACAGCCACTTCGCAAGAGCCTCGACTCATAAATGAGCGACTCATAAATTAGCAACGAGACGTTCGATACACAGAAACCTACGGCAGGTCAGCTTGCACATATCGCACGCCAAACATAGCGAGGCGACGGACGGGCACCGGGGTTTCCCCGGCACAAAGTTTCAGAGCCGGCTCTCGGCCTCTCAGCGCTAACGAAACCGACGGGGGATGCCTGCGCATCCTCCCATCTCCGCTGCCCGCACAGCACGTTGCGGCCGCGGGGAGGCACGCACAGCTCCGCGCTGCCCGCTCGTCTCGGTCACACGGCCGTTCGAGACCCGGCGGCCGCTCCGGAGAGAAGCGGCGGGACGCACGCACGCGAGCACAGAGCCATCGCAACGGAAACAAACAGAAACCTGCGGTGCCCGCTGTGCCGCGCCGCACAGCGCGGTCCTCCAAGGACACGAAGAAGTCACGGCGAGAGATGGGGAGAACGGCGCCTCAAGCACGGCGCCCCGCAGCCCTCCTGCCGGCACCGCGCCGCTCCCGGAAGCCCGCGGCGCGCGGGGCAGGGCAGGGCAGCAGCCGGCGCCGGACCGCGTTGGGGAGGCCCCGCGGGACGGGACGGGACGGGACGGGACGGGACGGCCCGGCCGGCGCCGCCGCCGCCGCCGCCGCCTTAGGGAGCGGAGGGCCAGGGGAGAACGGCGGCTGCGGCCCGAAGGAGGGCGGCACGGAGCGGCGTTACTCACGGGGTGCAGCGGTCGCTGTACTCGTTGGCGATGGTCTCGATGCCGCCGCTCCGCGCCACGCCGATGTAGCAGTTCAAGAAGCCGAGGTCAATGCCGACCACAGACATGGCTGCGCTGGGCACTACCCGCCGGCCTGCGACCGCTGCGCTGCTGGGACCGGCCGCCGCCGCCTCTCCCCCACTGCGGAGCACCAGCCACCAACCGGCGCCTGCTCGCCTCTGCGCAGGCGCGCTGTGGCGGCCGCCGGGTAGTCCGCCGGGCGCCGGCTCCGGCTTCGGCACTTTCCGGAAGGGCTCGGGCCGCGCAGGCAGCGGGCGCCGCGCATTCCAGAAAGATCTGGAAACGAAGGAAGGCGGTGTCACCAGAGCGCCGCCCCGCGCCGCGCGTCAGTACTGCGGCGGGGCCCGGCCCGCCCCTTAAAGGGGCGCGCGCTCTCCCGTGCTCCGTCAGTGCCGCTCATCCGTGCTTCCCACACCTGGCGTTGGCTTTGCCTTCTCGGAAAAAAAAAGGTGCCCGCAGCCTGCTTACCCCCACTGCAGGTATGTTGGTTTTACGGGTACCATTTTAGGCATAAACATCAAAACCCTACAAAACAATGCTGGAAAGTCACCCTAAGTATTTGCTCCCCTCTGAAAAGAGCACCTGGATTTAGCGCAGCAGGTGACACTGTTGCACTCTTTTGTTCCACCGGACAGACTGCAAATCAGCGCCGAAGCAATGACTGGATCGGCAGCCCTGCCAGAACTTTGGTTATTGCTCCATGACCAAAGCCGGCTCAGTTCCTGCTGGGACAAAACCAGCCCTGTGACTGAAGGCACCGCAGCGCGCCGCTCCTGCAGCAGCGCCTCGCACTCACTGACACAAACCGACACACAGCACATGTTCTTGTGTGGCAGTGCAACTTGCCAAGCCAGTCCCAAAGCTGCTGTGCAGTGGAGCCAGCTGTCTGTGCAGGAGAGCTGCACATCTGGCAGCAGCAGGATGGACTGTGCTGCAGTGGGGAATGCAGACAGTGCAGTGATAGCGACAAGAAAGTGCCGTGGGCTGCTATGTTGGCTTTGTCAGGTGTGTGACTGTGTGAGTCAGAGATAAGATTGCAAACGGGTAAGCTGAACTTGTTCATAAAAGTTTTGCTTGCATGCATTAGCGTTACACCATTTGTTCAATCTGCAAGTATGAACGAAATTCATTCACATCAGATTAGCCACAAACATGAGTCCTATCACCCCCATGTTCTGCTCCATCCACCGACCAGATCCTATCCCTTCAGGTATCTTCCATTAATGCTCTGGTCCTGGAAGCTGGTGATATCCGTCACCCCAGTTCTCAACCTGTACATCACAAAATCTATTTAGCAGGGGCTGAAAAGTAGTTGTAGTAGTAACTGCAGGACCTGAGGGCTTTGTGTGGTGCCAAAGAGTCTACAAGGAGATGTCAGGAACCTGCTAGCCTTTATTTTTTAGAAACAAATCACATATAGGCCTCCCTGTGCTATCATAAATCTGTAAGTTATCAGTACTCCACAGCAATTCTTTTTTCCTTCTCTGACTGAAAATGACTACCTCAAAAATGACAGGAAGACTCCTCCTGAAATGAAAATGGGTAGATTTGTACACACCGTAAGATTTATCCTCCCTTCTGACAAGAATTGCAGATTACTTAAATTTTTCTTGAAAAAGAATCGATGTTTTGGTTAAAGGCTTATATGCTTGGGTCTCCTCATTTCTTAGTTACATTTGGAGGGTTTTAATTCAAGATGTGTAACATCTAGTATCAATAAGACAGCAACACAGATCATTCTGTGAAAAAGGTTAAAGTTTTTCCTTGGATTAGTTTCTTGAATGATATCAAAACAGTGCTCTTTAATTCCTTAAGTATTTAACTTGGTACATGCCTGTTTATAAAAACAACCAAATGACTTAAGAGTATCACTTGTCTAGTATTTCAACTGAAAACACACTATGCAAATGATCGCAGACATCACACAAACAAGATATGTGTTAAACAAGATATGTCACAGCTTCTCTGGGCAACCTGTGCCAGTGCCTCACCAGCCTGAGTAAAAACTTTCTGCTTGACATCTAACCTATATCTCCTCCCCTTATCCTATCACTATCAGACTGTGTAAAAACTCAGTCTCCCTCTTGCTTGTAAGCTCCTTTCATGTACCAGAAGGTCACAATGAGGTCTCCCCAGGACCTTCTCTTCTCCAAGCTACACAAGCCCAGTTTCCTCAACCTTTCTCCAGCCCTCCGATGATCTTTGTGACCCTTCTCTGGACCTGCTCCAACAGTTGTGCGTCCCTTCTGTGCTGGGGGCCCCAGGCCTGGACACAGTACTCCAGGTGGGGCCTCACAAGGGCAGAGTAAAGAGGGACAGTTCACCTCCCTCTCCCTGATGGCCACCCGACTTTTGATGTAGCACAGGATACTGTCGGTCCTCTGGGCTGCAAGTGCACACTGTTGGCTCATGTCCAGCTTTTCATCAGAACCCCCAAGTCCTTCTCTGCAGGACAAAGAACTAGCTAGCCCTAATGTCCTCCTGTCCCATGAAGGATACTGGGGAGTGCCTCATGAAAGAAAGTGTTAAGCGTTATCTTGGTGATGTGTTGTCATAAAGCAGTAAATGGGTCCTTTATGGGTTCCCTGTCCTCATTCTGCATGCAGATAATCAGAAGAAATCATTATTGCACTACACTGAGAAGGAAACTCAGATGCCTAGCAAAGTGCTTTTCTTTGGTAAAGAACACTGAGGAATGTTTTCTTCTTGTTTCACCTACAGCAAAAGAGAGATCTTTACCTAACATTTATCTGATGTAATGCCTTGTTAGCTGGTTCCAACAGCTAAGATTAGAAAGGCTGTGATCCTTCTTCTGGTGCTTCTGTACGGGGCAAAAAGAAGGCTTAAGAATTAAATGAGGTCACTCCAGTCTCAAGGGAGCTTAGAAATGTTTCAGTGCTATTAAAATTTAACAGCTTTTCTTTTCCTTTAGTAATACTGAAACAGTTTTTACAGCATGTACATTCAGATCAGTAATCAATAGTCCATCAAGCAGCTGTTCTCCAATAAATTAAAAAAAAAAAAAGTTAAGTCTTTGAGTAGCACAATAATGTAAAAACATGAGAATGCTAAAAAAAAAAAAAAAAAAAAAAAAAAAAGGGGCAGCATTCAGGTTTGTTTGTTTTTTTTTTTTTTTTTTAATCTAGTCCATGTAGCAAGCAGGAGGGGACAGCTGCAATTTGAAGATGCTCAACTGTGCCTGTATTGTGTCAGTACCAACAGTGTCTGGCAAGCTGACTAAGCCTGCTTTCTTCAGTTCTTTGCACTTTACTTCCCCACAAGCTTAAGTTTGTGGTAATCTTCTTCAAAAGACAATCCAGCCAAGCAAAAATCACGCACACCACCATACTTTGGATTTCCTATCCTGCATCAAGTATGTAAGAAAGCATCCCAAGTCCCTGAGCTTCCATAATGCATAACGCTACTTTGTTAAATAGCCTTCTGAAGAAATTAATCTTGAATGCTATTTGTGGAATGTTTCTAAATTTTAAGTCACAAGCACATACACATGTAAGCCATCTGGAAATATTTCTAGAAGGCAGAAAGGAAATTTGAAGAACTATAAACACTTATGTATCTCATGCATGTTTTACTTTTTCCACTCAAACAAGAAAAAGAAAACAGCAACTTAAAACTCTTTACATATGAAGGGATTGCAATTGAAAAAGGACAGCTGAGGAATTTGCATGCAATCCCAGGGGATCAATCCAAACTTAAGGACTGACAACATTCTTCCTGGGAAGCAACACCAGGAAAGCTCATAGCACAAACATTGCCCGTGGCACAGAACCCAGGCTTTTGTTTAAATTATGAAAACACAATCAAAGAAATTGTGAAATGGATAACCTAAGAAAAACACAAATAAAGCAGATTTCTAAATGAAACAATATTAACTTATTTTCTGTTCAGATATGAATACATTTGATATAATTTTTCAAATCCCATTATCAACACTTTATATTTCAGGATCAAGATTCCCTGCAATTAATTCCCTGAGTGCTGACCTCTATGTCCCAGTGAGAATCCATCCACGTTAAGGAACTTTCCTCTTGAAGTGAACAAATGTGCAAGGTAAGACAGCATAGCTCAGAAGTACAATTTGCATTTTGAGCCATAACTTAACATTGTTTCTTTCTTTTTTGCTTCCATTTGTACAAAACTAGACTCAAAATCTTTCAACTATTCATAAACGTTTCTAGCTTTATGTATGGCAAGAAATAAGTTTACAGGGCCATTACTTAGCTACATTAACAGTACACACTCCAATAATGTATGGCATATTCTACTATGTAGGAGCTCTGTCAGGCAGTTGCGCAGTAACAATAGCAAGCAAGCAATGCAAAGGAAAGTATCAAGATTAAAGGCAGACACACTTGAGGGACACAACACAAGAACTTCCCATGTTAGAATAAAAACGGCTCTAATTTCACTTGTGGGATTACCTATAAACATTTTTGAGATTAGAATCCATGCTAGTGCCATCTTAACTGCTAAAATGCAATTGGGATTTTTTTTAGCAAAGAACAGAAACATTGGTACCTGAATCTAAGAGTTTCAGTATATATCTTAATAATTCCGTCAGCACCAAAAGCACTGTGTTCTGAACGTAACTTTGAAAGTTTTGACTGCAGTTATGACCGGTTACTTACATGCACTTCACAGAGTTGTTAATCACAGAAGTGAAAAAGTCAGACTTCATTACCTTCAACAATAAGCTATACAGAAAACCATGCTCACTTTTAAATATGCCAATTACGAAATGTTATCAACACACTACCATGAATTACCAACCGTGCTGACAGAAGGAACTGCACAGTTCTTGGCCGGATCTAGTGAGTTTATGAAGCAGAACCAAGAAGTTAGTTATTTATCATTTTATCCACTTAACCACTTTGAACATGAAAATCTGTTTGTACCTGTCTTTGAAAGCATAGTTTGGAGCCTCTGTTAGAAAACAGCATATAACATTTACCAAGTTGCCATGCCAGAACTGAAAAAATCCTACAGAAAAAGAAATGGATTCTTAACATAAACATCCACAGTTTGTATTACATGTAGTTTTTTATACAGCATTCCTTTTACTGTTTCTACTTATATGAGGTATAACAAAGGTTAGAAATACTACTTTTCAGGTCTTCTATTTCTCAGGCATTTGGTGCTAGAAATCTGGACTTATTCAGATGTGTACCAACAAATGCATGCATTCAGTGTTAGCACAAGAAACTATAAATGCAAATGCTGAGGAATGGGAAACACTTTCAGCTTCCTTACTTCCATAAATTTTCATCAACTTCTATATCTCTCAAAGAGTAGAGATACCTGCATCAACTGCAGTCTGGATACAGAAAAAACTGTCAAGAGAAACCACTGAGCGTCCGACTCTTTAACCCGTGTCCTTTCCTAGAAGGAGCCTGGCTATACCGGTTAGCTTCCATAGGGGGTGCTCCGACTCCATACTAAAACAATAACTAACTGGTTCATACACACCATAAACTTTGCAGGGTTTTTGTGGTGATATTCTTTTTCTAAATCAAAAAGAGGATTCCTCTGGATGCTAATGTAAATGCACTAAGTTAAATGGTGCCGAGGAGCTAACACAGGAGGGAAATCTTACGTGAACCATGAGAAAAGCATATGCTTTTCGCCATCACTGCCCCTGCTCCGTGCCTGGCTCCCACCTGTGCTGGTGGGCAGTGGTGAGCAGCAGTGAGACTGAGCTTCGTAACACACAGTCATGCACTTCACTTAAATATCTTCTTGTGGGTGAAGGCAAAGATACCTTAAGGGCAAAGAAAAATCAAGCCTAGGTATTCCTTTCTTTTCCTGAGTACACTTACGTCCATATCAACGTGGGTGTGTACTGAATAACTGCTGCTTCTGAGAAACCATCAGAAGGAAAATGTCCACAACCATCACTAAGCATAATTTTGCTGCTTCATCACATAAAAGCATGCTGACTTTGTGGCTGCAGGTTTGTTTTTCAGATCAACAAGAATCCTGAAGGGAAGTGCACCTTCTCCCTACCTCCTCTCCCACCTAGCAGCACTCCTCTGAACGCCAGCAGCCTGCAATTGGCTTGACATCACTGTGGCTACAGAGAGGCTTCTGAAATTGTTTGTTTTCCTAACCATAGTGGTAAAACAGAATGGCTGGGTCTGTACCTTGTTCTGTCTGGATGCGCACAAAGCAGTTGACCATAACCCTGCACTGCTGGTCTGCCTGGATCTGCTTGAATGAGGCCTACAGCTGCAGGAGCAGCTTCACCTGCATGATGGGCAGCCACCAGCTCTGCACATCTGCCATGGTGCTTGGCACTGCTCCACCAGGCCAACAGCTGCTCCCCAGTCCCTTGCAGCAGGGCGTTACCTCAGGGCACACCATTCCTCTGCTCTCAATGACTCCTAGGGGCAGGACTCCTCTGCTGCCATCTGTTGCGTGGCAACAACGTGTAAAAGAACATTGGTGGGAAGGTTCAACCTCCACCGCCGTACCATCAACATCCACCTCTGATGTCATGGGCCAACATAATAAAATAGGAGACGTTACTTCCAGAGCAGCTCTTGTAGCTGATTGCTACTGAAGGAGCCCCTTCAGTCCTTCTTACTTCCACACACGCTACATATTCACTCTTTTTTCTGCAGTGACTAAACCCAACTAAGTCAACTGAGATCAGCCCACTACACTGGCAGCAAAGTGCCCAGAAAAAAAAAAAAAAAAAAAAAAAAAAAAAAACAAAACCAAGAAAACCATCTAAAACAAATTAACAAAATGAATTAGGCCTAGCTGTCATGTCCACTATTTGCAATGATTGCTTCCCCCCCTCCATCCCCGGGTTCCTTTTCTCATCTAGAAAGAAACACAACATTCCAAAGTTATTTTAGATCATTTTTAAAGGTGTTCATATATTATCCATATTCAAACACAGAATTCTCTCAGATAATTTATAGATGGAGAATGAAAATGTAAAAGCACTACTGATGCAACTCTGCTCTGCTCATCTCAAACTGTTACGTTGTCATCAAGGAACCATCAATTTTGGAAAGGGCTGATTAACAAAACCTTCCATCATACACTTAAACTTCAAGCTTAAGACTTCTATGAAATGAGAGCAACTCCTGAACAATTCAAGCCAAGTTGTGAATCAGCCAGTAAGCGTGAGCAGTCAAAGGCATTTCAAGGCTCAGTTTAGAATTACTCTGACTGCAATTTACTAGTTGAAACGAGCTAAGGATTTGATCATGAGAACCTAAAAAACTGAATTTAATTTCCTAAATACATTTATATTTTTTCTTTTCATCCCACTGTTAGCAAATAGAGGCAGCAAAAGAAAAAACAATTGCACTATTGACGAAGTATGTGAGTAGACACCATGCAGGCAACCAAATCTAAATGTGCTTGATGGGGGCTAAAAAAAAATGACCCAAGAAAATAAAACATTTTAAACTAGACCTCCAGTGAAACTATCTAAAGAAATCAACAAATACAACCAGAGCAGCTAGTTTGTCTACCACAAACCTTTAAGCAATTAGTAGGAAAGCTGAATTCTGTAGAAGCCTTCTGAATTTGCAAGCGTTCCTTCTCTACCTCATACAGGTGTAACCTAACATTTGTTTCAGTATCCAGTATTAGATTATAGAAAATCTAGCTAAACAAGTACTGTTTAAATGAACAAAAAGAAAATATGTAACTTTAAAAGAAATTAGAATAGCACTGTACTGGTCTTTTAAAAATATATATTTTTTATTATGAAATTATGAATATAATACAAAAGTAGCTATCCATGCATTGGTCTTAAACAAAAATATCACCCTCAGCACACCTCTTATGTGCCTTCATAACTGTTTTTGTTTAACAAATGTAAGCATTACTTATGATAAAAGTCCTGAAATCAGGTAAAACATCAGTCGCTGTAGGTCTCAAGTGTCTAACAGTGTGCACTAGCAAAAATGTTACACCATTAGTTTTGGGTGGCTAAACATCATTATTCTTCTAAAAGGTTTCTTTTTGTTGTGATTAACATGATGCTACTGAAAATATTTCTGTATTTTTCACATGCTTAGAGGCACAGAATTTTCATTAATTGGGAAATTTACTTTTCCCTGTCGGTGACTGACAAATATTCACAGAGCACTTTGAGGACATCATTTTACATTTGAGTGTATCATCTTACATTGAATACTGGACAGTGAACAGCAGTGAATGTACTAATTATGTGAGGTTTTCACATAATAAAGTTACAATTAGGATAAATAATTTGACAATAGATAAATACAACAATTTCAGTGCTCTGGAATTTCTTAAGTATTCAGCTGATCAGGTCATTAGAATCAGCTCTGAAGTTTCACCTGTATCAAATCACAAGGTAGATTTACCGTTTTAAAAGCGTTTCAAAGGTATGCCATCAGCAGGCATCTCAATTGAGTTCATTTCTCACTGCCCTTAAATGCTTTGAGAGAGGAGAACAAGGATGGCTGAATATTCAGGAAGTTCATCTATGTAGCTAAGCCAAAGGACAGCTTGAAGGCCAGCTCAACAGCAACTTCAGCAACTGAGTCATGGAAACAAACATAAAACTCCTGTGGTTTTGGATGCAAGAAGAGTCTCCTGAAGAAAAAGAACACACAAAAACCCCACAGAAAATAAGAAATCACAGGTGTTAGCTTTTTGCAATTGCTGCATAATACAACTAGCAAATCTCTGTGGCCCTTCTGCATGATTTTACTGTTTTCATATGTTAGATTCCTAAGGTAGGTTATTCTTTCTTCAGTTTTCTCAAGCCTATTTAACAAGTTTATGTTTTTAGTATGTATTTTGATGTTACTTTTTTTTTTTTTTTTGCACTGGGTTACATGGGAGCAAACTGCAGTATTCACATATTTACTCATTTTTAAACTTAATACAACCTAGCAGGTACATTGCAATGTACCTGTGTGTCACTCCAACAGACTCTTTGAGGGGAAGAACTAAAATAGGAAAGCTGTTAATAAACCTGTGCATAACTGTATGTAGCATTATAGTATATAGCTCTGTAAATATTAACAGACTCTCCTTGGTCATCCTGCTGACTGACTAATAATCCTAACGTGACTGTCTGCTAACTGCAGATAAATGTTAAGCATCACAGAATATGGTTAGTGAGAAGTGATGGCTGCAGAATGTGGCCTGCTGGCCTGGTCTTAAACAATTAAATTATTTGCAGTGTTCTGAATTGTCAAGTGATGATGCATACTATTTTCTCATGCAACATGATTACTTTGAATAAAAGCTCTTATTTTTAATATTTAATACCTAGGGCAGCAGACTGTTCTGTCACGCAAATAAGTTTCAATTAAAATTATGTGACATCACAGTAAATAGATTATTTGTGCTGACAGCAGAACTTAGAAAGCAAATCCAGGAAAGAATGCTCCTTCCCCAGAACATCTCAGATAGACCAGTAAGTGGATCTGATCTTCCCAATTGAAAAAAAAATATTCTTTAATAGGATAGAAGCATACTCAAAATGGAAGGTTTGGAGAGAAATAGATTTGTCTGCCTTTAAACTTACCCCACAACCCAGTAACTCAGTGTTGGTGGTGGTTTCTTCTGATCATTCCAGTTCTCAGGAGAGCACTCAAACAAAACTCCATGTTCTCTTACAGGACCTAAGTCTTCATCTGTACTACTAAATTCTGAGACTTTACTGCCTGCTTTCTTCTTTTTCTGTAAAACAGTTGGTGAAGTGTAGATAATTTTTTAATGCAAACATTAGTACATGTAATTTTAACATGCTTTGTTCAGGAAGCTGCTGAATGACATTGCTGTCAAACAGCCGGATAGAAGATAAAACTATTTTGCTTACATGATTCTTTGCTTCAGTTTTGTTACTTCAGTATCAACAGGAATTCCAACGTTTTTACACAACTTGGAAGTGCTCTCCTCACTTTGATTTTTTGGTCTAGCCAAACAGCATTCTTTTTATTAGGACATCTGAGTTAAAGCAGCTTCATTAACAACAAACTATGTTAAAACAGCTAAAGCTTGCATCTCTTCCTTTGAACTAACAATATAATAGTACATTTTTTGCCTATTTTTTTTTTCTTTTTGTCAAGCCCTCTGAACTCAAAAGAAGTTCTATTCATTCTTTTACATTTTCCTTGTGCCCTAATACAACCTGGCAATTACAGCATTAACTGTTGAAGCCAACTAACAAAAACTACCTTGAAGTTCTGGAGTCAAAATACTTTTAGTTAACAAGCTGGCTTACATAGGTTTCTCAGATTTTCCTCTAAAAGAAACTTTGTTCAGCAGCACATGTTCAATTATTTCTGACTTTCAGGGCACAATGAACCTAGCTGCTGCTTACGGTAAAGACACACACCTGAAAAACCCAGAAAACCATGTGCTGACACAGCTGTTGCTAAAACAGAAGTTGTCACTTTGAAGTATGCATTCTTCACTTGTTATGAACTATGCTTAGTAATCGAATGGTTTGTTTACTCAGGTATCTTTGGTTTGAACTACAAGCTGCCTATTTAACGACTTTAACCAAAGGCAATTTGATCAGAAGAAATATTTCTGTACTCTCTCTGCTTGCTTTTGGGTTTCCAGATCTGCCAAAGTGCACAGAACAAAAGACTCACTGCCAATATCTTATTCAGCCTAACCTCAGCATCTTATGGTGCTGACAGCATAATGCACCAAATTAAGCTGTTTTTCCTAACACTTTTAAAAAAAAAAAAAAAAAAAAAAAAAGATTTGAGGTACATCACTCTAAACAGAAATAACTTCTTCCGTAACTTCAAGAAAAGACAGAGAAAAATAATACTGATACTTGCAAACTGCATTGATTCAATATGTACTGTTCTTCCATGTTTCTCATTTAATGCACTTGGACTGCCGCTTAGGGATCTAAAAAAAATGCAAGTGGTATACAGTATTCCACTTGCGATAATATTAAATTATGTCCTTTTTTCCAAAGAAACTAAACAGGTCACAAAATTAGCAGGGATGAAATACTACCCTAATTCGTTTGTGTCAGTAAAAATCAACTGCAGAACTAACAAAACAGACTCTGAACAAAGCAGGTATTGAACACAAAACATCTGATCTGAGCACCTCAAATTGATTCTCATAGCTATTGTTTAGATTTCTGCACCGTTACTACAGTTTACTTTGCATGGATCGTTTGAAGTAAACAGAAAACTATAATCAAGATCAAGGCAGAAGAGTTGCTGACATCAGATCTATCCTCTTTTCTCCTATTTTTTTTTTTTTTTTTTTTTTTATTTAAGTTTTCCTAAATACCAAATACTCAAGTGAAGCTCTGGCAGATGAGACCAGGATTAAGCCCAAGGCTAGAGCAAGGCATGAACTTCTCGTGAAGAGAAAAAAGCTCACCTGTTGTGCTGCCCCACATAATCTAAAATCCAAGAGATTATTTGCCAGCATAATTAAAAAGAATTGATCATTATGACCAGACAGATATCAATGTGAGAAAGCTACCAGAGACATCAGTGGGTGGCAAATGTATACGCTATCTCAAGTAGTACAGAGAACAAAGGCACTGAGAACAAACATTCCCTCAGCTTCAGAAGAGGCTCTCTTGAGGTCAATGTTAAGACACACCATCAGGGCAGCAAGGGGAGCATTGGCACTGCTCATATCAAACGTTTTCTGTGCAAAGAGAGGGCATCCATTTACTTTCTCCTACAGTCTGAAATTTCCTTATAGGATTAATATGACTAAAAGAATCCAACAACCCTCTCTTGCTACTTCCTACATTTCAACCCAATGTGTAGGAACTTTGTGCTAAGTTACAGAGCCCTAAAATCAAACAGAAAAGTTCCATACTGAATACATGGAGTATTTATTTGGAGGGCATGGCAGGTTGAACCATAGTTACATGTATACATAGTTGGATGTTCAATTTACTCTGTTAAAGCAGTAAGAGAATCAAGTGCTTTTAAACAACCAAATAATTGCCTGCTAGTGAACCTTCTAAACAAAGAAATGAAAACAATATTGAAATAATAAATTGAGAACATAGAGATAAAGACTGAAGATAAAGCTTACATACTTCTTTCAGCATGGACTGCTGAAAAACTGAACGAATTGAAAGACAGCAACGATGGAAATTCTCAATTAACTGAGGGTGGATGGAGCCCCCGAGCCGTGCGACTTCCTTGTGAGTTGGAGTGATAAAGATTCCATGCATTGTTTCCAAAGATAGATAGTGAAAGAGGGTATTCTCAGGTCCAGATGTCAACCTTCAAAAATAGGATAATCATTTCAATATTCAAATAAATCTGAATGAAATTTCAGTTAAACAATACGTACAATATTCTTATAATCATTTTTCTGGTAGCTGCAATGGAGTACTGAAATGAAGACATTAGAAAGGTGCTTGTTTCTATATCAAGGAAATCTGCTCATTTGGACTGCTTATGTTAAAATTTAACACGTAAGTGCAGTTAGCTATTGAACTTGTGCTCTCAAAAATTCTCACAACTTTTGAAAAAAAAAAAACCAAACAAACAAACCCTAAAGCTTAAAAAACATACATGTATGACTTCTAAAGTGAAACACTATTTAAAAACAATAACAATTTCTTACTTGATAGTATTAAAAAGTTCCATGTCCATCTCTGACAAATTCTTCTTAAGGTTTCCTAAATGAAATGGATTTGGTAGGGTATGTTTTTTTCTAGCAACCTGAAAAACAAGTAGATGGGTGAACTAACAGAAAATATTGCTAAGGAAAGAATAGAATTAAAGAAAGAAATTACCTATTTAAAATAAAAATAACATACTGCTTTGAGAAGCCCCAGTCACATCAATTAATGTAAAATGTGTTTTAGGCTATTTCTGGCCAAAATTGATTAGAAGAAGCAGTTGTACAACCATACAGCAAGTTGTCCTTATTGCTCTTGTTTACACCATTATTATTTTGGGGCTATTCTCCAATTACTTACTCTAATTCCAACACAGCTGTCCCCAGTTTAGTCAGCTGAAAACCAAATATTTAGAAGCAACAGTAATCCAAATAAAAATGTGACAGCTGGGCGCCTGTCTCAAAGTTTCCCAAAGCAACTCAAGTATCTTCTACTGAATTCAGGGGCTCTTGACATTTTATTCAGCTCTGCTTTGGGACTTTTGCTTAAGTTAGTGAATTTTGGTAAGAACTGCCTCTTCCCCAAGCCCACCAAAACCTGTTCTGTTCTCAGACCTGATCTGCTAGTGTGTGTTGATTATTGCTTTCCTCTTCTGCAGGAGCTTCATTACCATGGTCGGGTCCTCCACTGTTTCTTGTAGGACTTGGCTTACGTGTTGTTAAGGAAGAGTCACCAAACAGAGTCCTTTTGCTTGCTGGAGCAGTTTCTGTTCTAGAAGCATTTTGTATCTTACTTAGGATAGGTGAGGTGGTTAAGCTCTCCAGCTTGTCACGTGTTGTAGGCAGGAACCAGTCAGCACAAGATAAAGGTGGAACGGAAGGAGAATCTAGCCTCTCCTCAATGCTGGCATCTATACCTTCCAGCTGAAGTATAGTGGCTTTGACTTGGTCTACATATATACAGTCTGGTCCTGGATTCCCAATGGCTTTTGATGCACAGCCTCCTGCCTCTAGCAGAACACACAGCATAAAGTGTCTCTGTAAACATGGAGGTAGCAACATTAGCCTTTGATTTAAAATACCCTATTTACTGTATTATATCTCACCAGATGCTTGGACAAAAAACAGTACTATATTTAGGGGCCCTTCCTCCTCCCCAGAGCAGTTTTCCCTTTTTCCTTTCACATTATCTAAGTTATCACACAAATGTAAGCTATGGCCTACATACTCATCAGATATTAGACAAAAAACAGTGCTTTTAAAAAACATTTCTTCAGTGAGTTACCTGAAAATACAGGATCATTACAGTAAAACATTTCCAACTGAAGTGGAAAAGTATAAAAAAACAAGATACAAATAATTCTACTACCTAAGAAATAACGTCCCACAAAACAAAATATGAGTATTTTCTAAAATTACTAAGTTAACACGTGGACATTTATGATCCTGCTGAACAACAGGCAAAACACAATAAAAAAACAGAGCATACAAAAAGGGGTACACATAATTTGGTACTTACCAAGCCAACTATCAATAAGAAGTATCTTGCTTCGGGTTCAGTGTATCCTGTAAAATTTGACACTTCACATGGCTGGATATGATGCTGTGGAAATACTTCCCGCCATATCACTAACTGACCGATCTTCTGTTCTGCTGCCAAGGGTAACAGACAATAGTGCTGGCTATATAAACCTATATCAATGAGATCTTCCTTTGGCAAGTGATTGCCAATCAAGTAACCCTTAATTGAACACAGAAAAGGAAGTGTATTCAGTAAGAAACTTGTTGACAAAAAACAAACAAACAAAACCCAAACACTGTGCTGGAAATTTACTCTCATAATACTACTGGTATAAAGATCAATTGCATGACAGTTCCCTTAAAGCAAAAGGTGTTATCTTCCACTGTCTTTACACTGTCCAATACACTACCTACATTTAATAAGATAGATAAATTTACAATTAAGGCCAAACTGAAAAAGCTGGCAATCCAATTTGTCAAATCTTTGATTTGAAGACAGATCAAAGAGAGATGGATGACTGGCTGTCATCTTTATTAAATAACTGCAACGCAAAGAAAAATCCTGTTAGAATATTCCCAATCAATTCAAGTGAGTCTTCCATCTGGTATTACTGTCATCCTTGATTCTTTACATCACATGCAACAGAATTTCCGTAAGACAGCTTCAAACAAATATTTTGGGCTTTATTGATCGTATAACATGTATCACTTCATGATCTGTTTGTTGATGTTTTTGTTACAGTGTTTTTGATGTGTCACTAGAATTTCATATGTAAAGCAAACATACATTTATCATATTTGTGAGATTCTGAAGAATTCTGCATGACAGGATTTTTAAAATGATTTGTTTTCCTAACCTGTACGCCTTAATCGGTAATACTACCTTGTAGAAGAGACAAGAGCCCATAATCATATATAATCTTCTGATGTTGTAGTAATCTTCAGACTGTGAACAAAAGCATGAATTTTTAGATCAGGCTTTTTATTTTACAGAGTGAATACAAGGAAACTAATTCCAGTCAATCAGTATTATTTCATATTTTCATTTTTGACCACTTATATCAATAGGGCATCAAAATGGCATTAATAAGAATATTTCAAGCGGTTAAATCAAATACAAAGTTTTAGCCTACGTTATAAATTTTCATGTCACTATAGTTTTCAGCTCAAAATAAGACGCTCAGATTTCTCATCCAGCGCTTACCTGTCCATAAACAAACTTTTCAAGAGATGCAAATTCTTATAGCAAACTGAAGCATAAGTACTGACACCAGAGGCCCTCATTGAGCAAAACTTCCAAGTCAAAGCATTTTTACTAGTTTTTTGCATTTTACCCCAAATATGCTTACTCAGTAGTCTCTGAGTTTAGCTACTCATTGCTTTCAGAGTAGTAAGACTAACTTTAGGTGGAGATAGAGTATTTTGAATTATTGGGTGCAATCCATTTATTTGCAAGAAGATACAACTTGGAACCAACCTCTTCTGAAAATATTTATCCAGTCTGGTTGATACCATTTTTTTAAAATTTGTTTTGAAAGGCTGACTGTATGTCTACCTAACTTGTATTTTTAACGCCATCAATTACCTGAACAAGATATCAGTGCATTTACATCTCACCTTCCTGTTCACCAAGTACAAAGCATATGGTCAAGTAAATTACTATTTTCTCCTTTGAGATTAAGTATAACTTGTAATTGCTTTATTCAAACTGGTAAGTTAAGTTCTCAGTGCTCCACTGAAACTTTTTGTAGTATTCACAATTACTAGGGAAGGACACAGTTACTTATACAAAAAAAAAAACCAAAAACAAAAACAACCACCAACAAATTTGTTGAGATTAGAAATGTCCTTGTAGACAATCCATGGACTTAAATTACAGTGAATCATGTTTACTCAGTGACTAATCTTAGAGGACTGTAATATGGTTATGGTTATAACATTAACCACTGAGAAAAATTCAGGACAAAGAAAATGGGTAACATCGATCTATCTTAAAACAGGAATAACACAGTGTACTTTTGCTTTGAATCCCACTTGCTTACAAAGCATGGCTGACTAACTGCTGCTTTTCTTAAGCAACCAAATATGAGGAAGGCAAAGAAGTACTGTGCAATGCAAACAACAAAAGTAAATATTTACCAGTTCAGCAAAATCAGCTGCTTCAAGATCACTCAGTGCTGTGTCAATTTCCATCTGAAATATTAAGCAGTACATTTTAGTAGAGGTTTTTAACACACTAATTTACAGTAAAAGCATAATTCACTTTTTCTGGCTAATCTCAGGGGATTAGAATTCACAAGTACAAAGTTGAATGGACAAAAAAGCACATACTTTTTAACAGCAATATTAAATATCAAGAACACCTCAACTCATCAGATGAAAAAAAAATATCCAATTGCCATGCATTTCCCTCTTCTTTAAAACTAAAACGTTTCTTCTTGTATGCCTCCTGAACCCACTGTGCTGTATATAAAGATGTCACATTTAGTTTCAGTATGTTTTGAAACATGAAATCTAGAGACTACTCCTTGAAGGCAAGGGACAACACTGAGATCTGCCACGCTACTATATCCAACTGAGTTTTCAGAAAAATCTTTTTCTACAATGGATTGGTCTTACCTCTAAGGAAATTTCCCAAACCTTCTAACGTATCATCTTTGTCCTACTGAAACCGCTTTATGTGGGTGCATTTCTCTTAATGCAGGAGCTGTTGGTTAATGCAAGCTTTACTAAAAATTCATTGCTTTAAAGAACATGTCAGTAGCTGCTGAAGTTCATGACATAAATGCGCTACTAATAAAAAGAACCTACAACCCACCATGACAAGTTCCCTGGGCTGTTTAAACAAGCTGACTCTAATTGAAATACAGCCAGTTTCACAAACAGAAATGTCAGCTACACTGTTGGCAGTCAGCAAGTACCCAGCATCTCAGCTTTTTCCTCACTTAAAATGCAAATGGCTTTCCACCCAACAAAAGAACTAACATTTGCATTCTCCAGAGAATACACAAATAAAAACCATCTTCACTACATTCATCTACCAGAAATTTGCTCTTTGTCTAGAAAAAAAAATCTTGCAGATGTGGATGACCTAAGACAATTCTGGAAATCCATGTTCATATCATACATATTAAAATAAGTTGTTTTGTAAATCCCCCTAAAACCGTGTCATTTTATAAGAAGGTAAACAACCTGCAAGCTAAAATAGAGACTGAAGCACTGCAGTCTCTCTCAGCAGAAATGTGAGAAAGAAAGAAAAAAGCACGAAGGAAGAGAAAGGTTCACCACCAAATAGTACAAGAAAATAAAAATATCATTTTCTTGATAGGAAAAATAATGTGTGATAAAGTGCACAGAGTAACATTTCTAACATACATCAGCTGACTAACCACACTACAACTATGATTCCATAAACATTTTAATCCCCTCAATTACAGGGCATGGATTTTGTCAGAGAGTGAATGGGTGTGTGTTACAAGGACTACAGGCACACTTCACGAATTTTCACTTGGATAGCAGATATAACTGGGATAATGAGATGAAAGCAATTGTCCTGCAGCACTCAAGAAACTCTGCCCCAAGCCTGCAGCGTTGCATGGGGTTATTTTGGCCAAAGTGCAGGACCCAGCACTCAGCCTTGTTGAACCTCATCCCATTCACCTCAGCCCAGCAATCCAGCTTACCTAGATCCCTACAGACAGGAGAGGAATCAACTCTTTGAAAGGGTTGATAACTACAGGACAAGGGGAAATGGTTTTAAGTTGAGGAAGGGAAGATTTAGGTTGGATGTCAGGGGGCAGTTCTTTACAGAGGGAGTGGTGAGGTGCTGGAACAGGGTGCCCAGAGAGGCTGTGGATGCCCCGTCCCTGAAAGTGTTCAAGGCCAGGTTGGATGGGGCCCTGGGCAGCCTGGTCTGGTATTAAATGGGGAGGTTGGTGGCCCTGCCTGTGGCAGGGGGGTTGGAGATTCATGATCCTTGATGTCCCTTCCAACCCTGGCCTGTGATTCTGTGATCCCTCTGAAGCACCCTCCTACCGTCAGGCAGATTGACACCACCTCCCAACTTGGTGTCATCTGCAAACTTACTGAGGGTGCTTTCTCAATCCCCTCAGCTAGGTCTTCAGTAAAGATACTAAACAAAATGGGCCCCAGTCCTGACCCCTGAGGGACACCACTTGTAACAGGTTGCCAGCTGGACTTAACTCCATTAACTACTACCCACTGGGCACGTCCCTCTAGCCAGTTCCTTACCCAAAGGCGGCTATACCAGTCCAGGCCACGGGCAGCCAGTTTCCCCAGGAGAATACTGTGGGAGACCATGTCAAAGGCTTTGCTGAAGTCTAGGTAGACTGTATCAACAGCCTTTCCATCATCTAACCATCTGGTCACCCAGTCAGAGAAGGAGATGAGGTTGGTCAAGCATGACATGTAGTTCTGTCAATAAAACATATACTACAAAAGCACAGGTCTGACTAAAATTCTCCTTCGCACATAAATATGATATGCAAACTGCTCTTCACATGGAATGGAAAATAATTTCCTAATACAGAGTTGAATATACTTGAAAATCATGAAAGCAAAAATGGTTCCTCAATTCACTAAAGTTTATTAAAGAAAACGTGCGCTGTATGGGAAGTTCCTTTCTCAACTGGAACCTGACTAGTTATTAGAGTGTTTATATGACAACGGATTGTTCTAAATAGAAAAAGTGGTTCAATTTTAAAATGCATCTGTCTCATTAAAGATCAATAGATTTACAAAATAATTAGCTGTCTAGACATACATTTAGGTCCTTGAATGATACCTATAGTGTAGAAGTACCTTTTTGAGCTACTTTTTGATTCAGGCTTCATAATTGATGCAGAAGAGTCCTGCTCTGCACTGGAGTCCTAACACATTATTCATCAAATACTAAAGCAAAAAGCTGGAGTAAATCAGTTGAAATGCCAGATTTTCCCCCACTAATAAGAGGAAGAGTTCAAGATTAGCACTTCAGCTGTAGTAACAGGTCTAACAGAAGGTGAGATGGGTGCTACCCCAAGTCTTCACACTAATGGAATAAATAGTGGCTGCATGGAATATATGAACGTTTAACCTGATTTTGAGAAACTCTGGAAACAGTTAAGAAATATGACACATTTGGAACAGCAGAAGGGGAGTTATACTAAAGCTTCTAAACACAATGTGGATAAAATCCTCAACTTCTCGAAATGCTCTCTCAAAGTATTAATAGACCTAATCTTCGTAATACAGCTGCATCTTGTAGGATATTTAGAGATCCAGAGTTCTTAGCAATTTAGAACTAGTATTATTTTACATAATTACATATAGAACATATCCAAAACTACTTTTTACCACTGTCTTGGGAAGTGAGTTTCCTCAAGTAGAAACTGTTCTTTCATGTTTGGATCAGATTTTGTACTTACAGCTAGTGGGCATAAAACAGACTGAAGTAACAGAGAGAATCATAAAAGTTACTTATAAAGTTAATAAAATCACAATGAGGAAGTTATATGCTGCACTTTAGGAGTGGCAAAATCCAAATAACATCTGTAAGCTTGCTTCCTAATCTACAGTCAGAATATGTAAGTCTCTTCTGTAACCAGTGATTTGCTGTATGTGTCCTGGAAAAGGTACAGACTGAGATTCACTCATTTACTGACTACGTGGTTCAGAAAGAAGACTGCTTTCGTATTTCACTATCAGCTCTCTATTTTGAAAGTAATATACAGCTCTGTTTTTGACTGTGGAAGCATAAAGCAGGACACTGCTCAAATACAAAACAACAACACAGAAGCAATCATTTATTGATTTCCATGTTTTCAAAGTACAGATTAACTTCTGTACTCACAGCATATATTTGAAAATATGGCAGCCAACTGCACCCAACAAGACCTTATCTACATCTGAACCTACTGTGAGATCAAAATACGTTCTAACATTGCTCTCCATGGAAAACAACCCTTAGATAGTGATACTAAACCAAATCATAGCAAATCGTAGCACAGAAACAGTTAAAAAAATTGCAAATTGCCCTTTGAGGGAGATACCAGAAGTATTTCTAAACAAATACATGCACAGTTACGTTATTAAAGCATTAAGAGCAGAATTAACAGAAAATATAAAGAACAGAAGACTGAGTTAAAGATGATTTGCATACATAACAGAGAAAAAAAAAATCAGAAAAAAATCAAAAAGAAAACATTTCAGAGTAACTTTCTGCACGTAAGCAGCAATTACCAGCATTTGTCCTAAATGTCATTTCTCACAAGTTTTCCCTTACATTCTTTGGTGATTGCATACTGCTCCCTTTGTGTAACTCAGTGCATTGATAGAAGATAATATAAGATTGTATCCTAAATCACAAGTTACGCATGAGCTTCTGGAGTATTATTTTATCTATAGTAGATATTTTAACTGCTAGTACTTTTTTAATGTATTTCTATAAGTACATAAATGATGAGAATCAAACATAAAGCTACATACCATGACGCGCTTTCCCTGTGACGTATCTACATTCAGATATCTATGTTTTTAAAGTAATCTTAATTGCTTTATCATTGTGCTCTCTTCCTAGGTAACTCTGAAGTCACTGAACTACATATGTCGTAGCATTCTGTTTCCAGTGTAAATGACTGCATAGCTTTAAACTTAAGAGAAGGGTCCTGTAGGAAAATAGGCAGCCCACATTTATATTACACAATGTCAGCAAAAGATATATGCAAGACCTGTGTTAGTTTTCTGGCTTGACTTAGACAAGTTCTAAAGAGATCTGAAAACAAGATCACCTTGATTTCCTGAGGCAAAGTCAGCCAGCGCAAGCCTGGGAGACTGTCTAAGAATAATGCACTGCAGGTAGTGTAGTGTTGAACACTGGGGCTGGCATTTGAGTTAAGTCTTGCAGGCTGAAGTGCTCGTTGGAAGAACAGGTTGAAAAAATGATCCAGACGAGAAACATGTTCCACCTGGCAAAAAGCACTGAACAAACATGAACTGCAAGTTAAAATAGCATCAAAAAACTTGTAGCTTGTTTATATAACCCTCTGTGCTGTCGAAGCCTCTTTACAGCACGCTAACTACATTTGGATTTCCTAACATTCCTTTTAAGCAAACGCTATGCTAATACTCAGACAGTACATACAAAGAAGAAACAGCCGTGCTGAAAGCAAAGTAAGATGAGGCAATGATCAGCTTTGGATTACAAAAACAAAACAAAAAAAAAAAAACAAAAAAAAACAACAGATCATTCTTTTCCCTTATTTCAGTAATTTATTTAACTATTTTTAGGTGTTATAGATCTCTGTGCTGTATGACTATTTTCTTCAGAAGGTATAAAAAACTCCATTATTCCAAATGGCCTCCTATACTTATAGAAAAATCAAGTACTTTATCTTCCGTATTCAAAGCTTAAGTTTTTTCTGAGATGCATTTAAATAGCTTCAAGTATGACAAATTTAACTTGCTCCTTGTTAAAAATGCTATGAGAAAAAGCTACGACTTGACATTACATGAGGCTGTTCTGCCTAAAACATTTTTCTGTGCTGAACAGCACAAAAGTAATAGAAACGCTAGGATTTTCTCCATGGCATACACACTTAAGTCCTGAAGTGAATGCAAGCATATGAATAGTCCACCTTGGCAATTTTATTTAGATTACAGTCAGACTGCATTTTTTCTGGGTAATTTCCAAATGTAGAGAAAGACATTTACTCTGCCAAATAAAGTTGAGAAGTCTAGAGTGTTTATTTTATTACAAATATAACACTGTGATTCATATATACATTTTGCAGACAGTGGTTTAACAGACTTGCAGAGTGCTGTTGACATCCAGAGTGACTTTGGTTATGTGAATGATTTAACCTAATCAAGGACAACATTTTCTGAAATAACAAAGACTATTTCAAAAGAGTCTTACTGGTATTAAGAATGAAACAAAAAGTAAGAAGAACAGAATCCTGATTTTGCGCAAAGGTAAAAGAACAGGCAAAAAAAATCCATGTAAATATTAGAAATTAATGCTCTTTTTCCATAAGCATCAATTGAAAGCTAGTGACTGAAAAGAAAATACTTCTGAAATAACTCACCTGTCTAAAGAGCTGTACATAAATTTTAAGGTCCTGACAACATCTTCAATCATATTCCTCAGCTGAGTAAGTGACACACTGAAAATAAATAACAATAAAATGTTTGCTTATGTTTATGTCCTTAAGTACTGTGAATGTACATAGGTATCTTCTCAAGAGTCTCCATAACCAGTGATACATTTGCAAACAGAAGTTATTTCATAGGACTGTATGAGAACATACTTTTGTTTCCTTTGAGTAACTTGCCCATGATCACACAGACATAGTAGTAAAGCTGGAAGAAAACATTCAGAAGTTCTTGACTTCTAGAAAACCTAAATATGTAATATTACTACTGCTACTCAGTGGTCTCTGAGCAAGGCATGACTTCACAAAACACTGAAAGTGACTGTTACAGCTTATACATGTTTCTGGAGATCTATTAAGAAGAAGAAATTCTAATGAGGGGTATTTAAAAGATGTGAGCAAAGTCAATCCAAACAGTGGGATCCCAGCTATAAAATCTATCTAAACTGAGAAGATAACATTGTAAGCCCTCCCTTCCTTGTTCTTTAATGGCAGAACAGTACAATTGGAGGCTGGTATTTCAGAAAAATGTAAAACAAAGTTAGAAAGAAAATACTGTATTTGAAACTCACTTTTCTTCAGGAAGGCCAATCACAAGCAACTTGTCACATTCTTTCCAGTAAACAACTTGAACTAGTTTTTCACATACAAAAAGGGAGGAACTAGAAAAGCCAGAAGTACTTCTGTTAGCACTATGAAGTTGTAAAAATAAAATAAAATCATCTTCCAAGTTGGAACATATGTATTGTATATATAAAGTCTTACGCTCATATAAAATGACATGCATGCAATTGAAATATATAATTACCTTAATTACTAGAAAACTCAAAAGACCCTCTGACTTATACTCCTCTAAGAGGTCACATCAGTAGTAATAACATTTTCAAGTACAAGCATGAAGGAGGAATAACCATTACTGAAGCAGCACACTTTTCCTCAGAGAATTGATTCAGATGCTTCCTTAAGGTCTTCCTACAATGCCTACCTTTTAATACAGTTCATTTAGAAAGTAAATGCCATTTGAGGTCACACCGAGATCCTAATGCTTACTCACAAAAGCATTTCAAGAAACCCCACAAACAGGTTTTGATAGCAAGACCAAGAGCTATTTGGATCTATTATCTCAGTGACAAGTATGAACTCCCATGCTATCTCCCTATAAAGGAAATTACCCTACAAAGCTCATCAACCCCAGAAGGTTAGGTTCTAGTCAGCAATAAATAAAATATTATGCAATAGATTATAAAATTTAATTTATTGGTTGCTGCTAAAAGTAAGGTCTGTAAACATCTCCAACACTTAATTTGTATCAGTTCTCAAACTCAGGAAAAAAGATTGCTTATGTACTCAGCTGTGACTACAGCTAGAATTCATTTTTTAGCCCTGCTACAGACGACTTGTGTGACTACGAACACAGATTCTGTAACTCAGTTCCTCATTTATAAATTAAGTTATAATAATTTCTCTCTGACACCTACGATGCCGGTGAGTGAACAGGCAGTGAATTGGTACTAGTTAGTAGCTGTTATGATGGCATTTGAAACAACAGACTTACTGCATACAACATCTTAGAGCTAACTGTTTTACAGGCCATCTAGAAAAGTTATTAAAAAGCACTGATTTCGTCTCCTGACTTTTCATAGTGTGATCTAACAAGTTCTAAATAACATAACACTAATGCAAAGCAGAGGACACGTAACTTTAATTTCAGCTTTAAAAAATGACTCCATGATTAAGTTGTTCCACTGATTCAGTCATACTGCAGAAGTTGATGGAACTGAATAAAACCATAGCACTGTCATTTCATTAGTTATGAAATTCCTAACTATTTCCATAGGTCTCCAGAAAACTTTTATCCTTCAAGCCACCTTTACAAGCAAAACAAGTAATATAATCGATAATGCAATTAACAACAAACATATGCATCTCAAATGATGCATAAAACTTGAGTAGTTACCATAACTTTCTCTTCTGAAAGAGCTTCATAGAAGAGCTGTTATATTTTTTGAAAATATGAAACAGTCTTCAGAGACTAGCAGAGGTCCTTTTATATTTTTAGAACTCGTCTACAAGTGGCGAATTGAAAACCTTAACAGGAAAAGTGATTCTAACATGCATTTCTGAATTGTCTTACTGATGATAGCACGCATATAGATCATCCACACATAGACTGATTTCAGACACGTCTAAAAAACAAAATCTGGACAAGTGAAAAATGCCTCTATTGGAGAGAATTTGCATAATAACACACAAGTATTGAAAAGTGGTAAATGCGTCCTGTGCTAATTAATGCAGCATTACTTCGGAATATTAGCATACACAAAAGATCTAAAGCCTGTGTTCGGTAGCTGCTGCTAAAAGAGTGATTCTCCATTTGCAGTGGTCACTAAATCAGTAACACACTTTTATGAGCTTTCACTTACTACAAGTTTGTAAGCACAGCAGAGACACATTGCTAAAGCTTCTCAGTCAAAATAGCAAGACACTAGCAAGTCTAAGTCTAAGACACTAGCAAGAATAAATGAAAATAACCAAATGTAAACAATATTAAATTAGCAAGTATTCATTTTCTGGTAAACAAAAGCATTTAAAAACAATTTAAAAATTCCTTTTCAGGAGAAAAATGTAAGTAGAAAACTCAACCTAAACATGTGAAAGAGGCTTTCTGCCTTTCAAGAAATTCTCTATTCTTGGCAATATTTTCCACTATTTGTACAGCGTGTCTGCCTTCATCCTTCTTGAAACTAAATTCTTGGGCTTGAAATCCCACTAGCAGTTGCCTCTTTAAATACAACAAAACAAAACAAAGAAACCACCAAAACTATTCACACCTTGTGTGTGATGTGGAAGGCAGTGTAGTGCAGAAGAGAACTGTGACCAAGCACCCAGGAGATGTGAGCTGACATACAAACTCTCAGTGAATGAAATGTGAAACCAAAAGATAATTAGTGCTACCGCACTCCTAATTATTCCATCATAAAATTGTCTGCCTTCAAATATATAATCATCTCTTGACCTATCTCCACCACCCCTACCCACCTCCACAAAGCTCAAATCCATCTACATCAGTCTTCTAACCAGAGTTCTGGTCTGTGGATACAAAAATATTTATAATATTGCAAATTAAATGTGTACTGAAGTGAATTCTGAAGGTGCAGACGCTCATGAATTTAATCGAATTACATATTTACGTGTTGGTTTATTAATCTGATTGAAGCTGTTGTTGAATTTCCAGTGTGCCAATGTACAGTGCCAAACAACTGAAGTTTATCTAAGGGTGTTTTAGGAGCTCTAAGAAGGGATCTGATAAAATAAAATAAAATCAGTATCTGATAAAATAAACTAAAAATCCTAATCACTGATACCTGTGACAAAAACATTACCCCAAATCAATGTACGTTGAAACTGAGCAGCGCAACTTGAGACATATTCTTGTTTTGTCTAGACCTGAACATGTCACGCACGGGCATTTTTCTGTACACATACATATAGAATAATAAAACAAATAACACATAAAATCGCAACTATTTTTACCTGAGAATCTGGGCACCAGTAACACTTTCCATTATATCACACAGGGTGAGAAATATTCCCCTCACATTTTTGAGTTTTTGGGATGCTTCTGATATGGGGTATTGATAAAGAATTTCTTGCTGTGAACAAAGTTAACTGTTAGATAAGGGAAGTAAAAACAAAGAAACAAAAAGAAAACCAGAAAACAAGCTGGCATATTTTTAATGGCATCAATTTTTATTTTTAAACATGAAAGCTTTTATCATATACTTTTGCACAGTATCAAAACAAGCAGTGATCTGCACAGACACGCTGGAAAGTTCTAAAACACAAGTGAATGTTTTTGACAATTTAACTTCTGTTGTATGGATAAGTAAATAGGTATCATATGGAGAAACAAGAAACGACAAGCAGTTTGTCCACTGCATTTTACAGCATTATGTCCACTGTTAACAAATCTGATTCCAAAAGACTGCTAACATTTGTTTGTTTCTTTCAGTATTTAAGCTGTTATTTTATATATATTAAGATATATTAATATTATAATATAATTATATATTAAGAGCCATACTGCCCATCAAACAGACAGCTCTTTAAAACCAACAAGAACATGATGACTCAAATCTCTCCCTGTATCTCTAACTATTCACTCTACATGTGCAAAACATAAAACTGAGGTATATATTCAAATCACATACACACCATTAACGATTTAATCACCAAAGCTCTGGCTGTATTTATTGGCACTCTCTTAGAAAGGTCGGGTTGAAACTGATGATCAGTGAGGATGAATGTTCATGTCAGTTCATGTTATTTTTCTTACTGGTTCTTAAAAATATATGTATTACGTAAGCATGCTCCAAAGTTGTATATTAATTACTTCAGGCACCATAACAATAGAACATTAATAAGCAAACGTGTGATTCTCTACAGTTTTGCTTTCTGGCAAATAATGATGCGTAACGTTCAGCCCATCCAACACAATGAGAACACTAAATTATTTTTCTACACAAACAAAAGAAACCCTGATGTGATTAACTTTGTTATTTTATTGTTTGATGCCAATACCCGTTAGAAAATTTTCCTTCGTCATGGTTAAATTAATGCTTCGTTGTAGACAGTCCTGGCAAACTCTTCATTCTTAAGCAATTTAATTAGCTTTACTTTCAAATAGTCATTAGTAACATGGATTTTTTTCTTAAATCAATCCCTCAGCAGGAAAAAAAAAAAAAAAAAAAACACCACTTTCTAATTACAGCACTACAAAGGGGCTAAAAAGAAAACATTCTCTTTTTCTCTCCTCACTATGAATGGAGTCTTTTACGCAAAATTCATTTGAGAATTATCTGAACACTTTCCCAGGAAAAGAAAAGACAACTGTAACAAAAGGTCGTAGCTGAATCATATATATATATATTAATGAAGCAGCAAGGTTCAGCGCATATCACCATACAGGATCAGCTGTTCTCAGAGCAAAATGAAAAGTACCATTTTATCCCAAAGTTCATAGGGCAAAGACAATGGAATTACTAAATTAGAAGCAGCTCATTTAAAAGAAAACTGTAAACCCTACACCAAACTGAACACCCGAAACAGGCAGAGCATCTAGGCTAAAGTTTAGCCTTTAACTTAACAGTTTCTCCTTTTAAAACTATTTTATTTATGTCTCAAACCAAATCTTAATAGGCTTTTTTCCTCTCCATTCAGTGCAAGCTCGACAACAAATGAAATGGGATTCAGAACAATGCAAGAAATGCACAGCCTTCACAGTGCACTGACAATAGATGCTTTAAGTTACTCTTTACATTAAAAAAAAAAAAAAAAAAAAGAAAAGAAAAAGAAAAAGAAACAATAGATGAAAGGAACACTGTGCGCTCCTTAAGATTAATTTAGAACTTATAAACACTGAGTGAAATGCCCCAGGAAACACAAGCGTCTGTGTGAACTAAGATACTTTAACACCTTCCCTTAATACCTACTTTTCATGTTTACATAACAGTTTATAACAGTAAAACTATCGTGATGAAGGAATACGAACTTCATTTTAAAATACGGTATTATAAAAAAAATAATCATTCAAATGCATAAAGATAATATAATGTTTGGTGATGCAAATAACATATGTTGGTATAAATACTGTATGCTATAATCAGAATACTTTGAGTTAAAACTGTAAAAGACAAGATCAGGCCATCATCATCTGGGACTCACGACACACACACTCACAAACACTGTCTAGGGCTGCTTTCCTGTAGGACTGTTAGATAAAGCTTTCAAGTCTTAGAGATCATTAAATCTATTTTTGGGTGCCAAAGGTTCACAAGTGGAAGAATTAGTAACTAGCCCAAGTTTCCATTGTTTATAAGGATGTGATCTGCATACCATACTCATTTAAGATAAGGGTAGAGAAGCTTAGTGAAGGGTCATTATATTTTTCCATTGTGTAAGATGGCATGAGTATATAATAATTCAGTGCTAATTTGAACCAATGTAAACTAAATTTGGAATAGTACCTCTACATCACTAATGTCACTTACTGTTTACCAAATGAAAATGAAAGAAATCCCCTGAAAAAGTTAGCATTCTTTTTTCAGTGTGTTACAAAAAGGGCTTGGTTATACCAGCAAAGCATATTTCAACATCAGAGACTATTTAGGGCTGCATAACTGCCAAGACTTACCAGGAAACAATTCTTCCATGGTGTGAAAGGAGGACAAGTGCATTACAATCCTTCTTTTACCTCCACTCAACATTCAGGCTTAATCCCATTTCTTGGGGGAAAGTAGAGAAATAATGGGGCAAGAGAACACTGTTCATTTACTCTGAAGTGCAGGAACTGCCGTTAGGCATTTGCATATCTATTTACCCACCAGAGTCAGAGACCTTGAATTACTTTGCTTCTTCTTTTAATATTTCATAGAATTTATGTAAGTAACCAAGAAAACACTGGTCTAAGTCTGTAGCAATTGCCCCATGAATGTCCTGTACATGTAACACAGGACAAACTAAGAGCTTAAGGTAGAAGAGGTATTTGTAACATCTAAGTCAATTTTTATAAAGCATCTTAAACTTAATTAATTGTTAAATTAGTTTTTTCCATTTTTATTATAGGTAAATAACAGAGAATATAAATCCTATGGTACTGCATGTTTTAATGGAAGCAGTCTCATGGTGGAGATAAGAAGATGGAAGGCTACTGAAAATTTGTAAGTGAAATTGACATAAACTAATTTCCAGTGAAAGTACCTACTATGAAAACTTGTAGTCTCTTAAATGAGACCAGAAAGAACTGCAAACCAAAGCTTACAGTGCTAGCATGTAGTTGCCACACATAATGAAGCATGTGGTACCTTAAAAGTATTAGAGTGAAAAAAAAGTGATTTATATTGCAAAGCCAAGTTCTGTAGATTTACAAAGTACTGAATTTACGGTTGCCTCGTAAGTCTTAATTTTACACACTCACTTGCCCATCTTGGGCTTTATGCAAGCCTAGCATCTTTCAAAAGAAAGGACAATGTCATGCTGCATATGTACTAAATGGCTCAATTAAAGTTGCACAAGTAGCCACAGATCTGTCATTGTCTAGCTTTCACGCATTTCACTCTGCATACTGTATTTTTAACGGTATCATGATATGCAGTTTTCTATGGTTCTCCTCCCTAGTCATGTCTCTAGAAAACAAAATTCCATTAGGTATAATTGCAGCACTTTTTTCTCTGTTGTAGATTATCAGAGTAATACATACTCATATTAATTGAAAAAGTATTAAAAAGATAAAGACATTCCAGAGAAGGGATGCAGCACTGCCTGGATCTTAGCATTCATCCCAGGAGGGAAACAAAACTGTTTTATTTTCTGTTCCACACACTGTCACTGTCCTGCTATATGAGACCTTGGAGACTACAAAAAACTGTGCTTCATCCATAGAACAGATAATAAAGGTCACAGGGCCCTGTGCTAAATGTGAGGAGAATTACATAAGGGACAAAGGTCCTTTTCCAAATGACTGGTGCCCCAAGTGCCCTCTTCAGGAGCAGACATTTTCTGATCAGGCAAGGGGCCAAGCTCAGCCCTCCACTCTGTTCTATATCTGCTGAGCATGTGGAGCAGAACATCTGTAGCTATGGCTACATCAGGAACATCTACACAAACTTACAAAAGGTTATACATAGACTGGCAAAATTTTTCTGAGGAACACAAAAGGAAAGAGACGTGAAATTTTATGGGACAAAGAAAGAGTACTTTGGTAGCTGAAAAAACATTGCCCAAGCAAGAATCAACAGTCAGCAGACATGCAAGACTCTTCCGAGGGAAGGCATATTAGCATTTTTAAACAGGAGGGGACTGTTTAGAAAGATTATGTATGGGGACTGCCAATAGCTCCTGCTGAGGAAAAGGCTTTTTTGATTAGACAGATTTCATACATCCAGTTTGAGTTGTGTATTGAAAATGTCACAGTGAGCATTTGAGAAAATAATGTAATTCTGAATTTGCCTCTGCTTTCTCTGTTAACACCTGGACTGTTCTCTCTATCAAGACAATCAGTGGTGTTGAAGTAATTTTAAGCCCAATTAGAGTTTGTCTGCAGTGATGCTGGCATTTTTCCCCCCCCCTGAAATTTCAGGCTTTATTTCTGTCAAAACAGACATTTGGCAGACTACTCATTACTGAAATAAACCAGCAAGATTTTATTTCTTTCAGTATCAAAAGGCATAGCATGCGTTGCCGTCAGTTTTTACCCTTCCTCTTCACTTTTCTTAGTTAGCCACATACCTCATCCGTAGATGTTTCAGAGTCCAGTTTCAGTGAGAGGAACATAACAATATGAGGAACGCTCTGTACAGCCTGCTGAAGGTCCATGCTGTCTCCCCCCCACAAAAGCCGGAGCAGGTTGTTCATACTTGACTGTTCCTGCTTATACCTTTGCTGAGAGGCTCCTTCAGGTTCAAATGCCAATGTCTCAAATGTGAGTTTTACCTATTAAAACAATTAATTACTGTGAAAACGATGATGCATTTACAATTACATTCTAACGTCAGGTAAGAGGGATGTAGTTTGAGACATTTAAGAGATGCTTTCATAGCTTATGAAGGGGCAAACTTTCACGTGGCACAATGCTAAATTTTTGTAAGCATCTGTAGAAGATGAAAGCATTCAAGAACTGCTGCTGTTTAAGGAAAAACAGTTATATGCTCAGTGTTCCGTAACCATTTATTATTAACTACAAAGCCAGCTATTATATGCTCTGTGAGCCATGTAAGTAAGCATGTGGTTTGGTGTGTTTTCATTCTCAATTTTTATGGTTTTGAGAATGGAAAGAACGTACTTACTGTTCTGAGTTTGTTTGAACACAAAACGTATTACCACCATTTTTAAACATACACTACATTTGAGTCTAAATATTAGCACTTCCATACATATGTATCCTCAAGGCTCCTTCATGGATGTTTCATTGCTGTTTTGAGCACGCTGGCAGGTACAATTGAACAGGAAAATAAATTTTTGCTGGACAGCAAAGCTAAGTAGGCACAGTCTCAGTTCCTCATTTCATATGAGATTGTTTGTCTGCATCAAAATAACCTTAAAATGTTTGTTGACTTGGCAGATCTGAAACACAGTGTAGCACAGCAAATCCCACTTCTATTAGTGACGACTTAGTGCAACGATTAGTGCAAATTAAAGTTTTTGGTTTTTTTTTTCCAGTTGCAATACATCCAAAAAGCCTCAGTAGAGGCAGCTTATACATTTAAATATAGATACTTTTATATTTTCATAATTGTCTGTATGTGCATGCACAAGCCTTGAGAGGAGTGCCAGCAAGAAATTGCAATGCTTTAAAATACTCACTGCCTGTCCAACTAGATCTGAGAGACATGCCATCATCATCTCTTCTAGCTACACCACTTGTGTCACGTGCTGCCTTCTCCCCATCCCACTCTATTCCCTCCCAACACTACTCATTAATCTTTTCCTCGCCTATTTTGGCTGCTGTCAGCTTTTTATTCCCATCCTTTCTCTTCCCATTCTTTGGAATGGCACTGCACTCCATCATGCTCTCCTGTCATTTGCCACCCCCTTTTTTTTTTTCCTGACAACAACTCATCCCGCACTCTTTCCTCATCATTTCAGTTTCAATTCAATGAACTATGTATTAAAAGCACTCAAGGAGTACTGGCATCCAGCTAAGCAGCAGCAGCATTTTATGACCTAGTAACTCGATCGTTCACAGTTGTAGTGTTTCCTTCTGCAGCATTCTGTGACTCAGTTCTCTTTCTACGTCAATCCATCTGCATGTATTTCAGAGGATTTTCTTCATACCCTGCTTAACTTCTTGCAGATTTCCTCAAGACTCAAGAGTTCTTTCTCTTAACTTCTACTACATCTTGTCTGTGGAAACTTACTCACAACACTTAGGCTACAGTTCCTACACTAACGATGCACAGATGTAATTCTTGCTGCAGTCTATCTTTTAGCCTCTTGAACTAAAAAAAATCTCTGTCTGTCTTGTCTTAGAGACATAACCATCTGGCTCTTCAAGCAAGAGCTCAAATGAATTGGGCCAAACAAAACTGTAACTCTCCTTCCTCCTGCAGCCTCCATGCTGGCTCCCACATGGCTGCACGCAATGCCACGCCAGTCAGACGAGCAGTCACTACATTATGAGAAAGGTCTCTCACCATAATTTGGCTTCCTGTTCCCTTCCAAGTTTACCAGATTCTATACAGCAACTCTCATCCAAGTTCTACTATACAATTAGCCTTTTAAAAATTGCTGTGAAAAAGATCATGTAGGCTAGAAAATGCTGTAACAGAATGTAACCAAGAGACTACATTTCTACAAGAAAGCTCTGTCCTGAACAGTACACCAAGATCTGATTAAATAGGTGACAAATGAAGAACTCTCCCGTGAATACTGAGTATAAAATCTTTCACTGTCTGACTCCAGTTCTCTTAAGAAAATCTAGTCAATATACAGCAGAAAACGGGAAAAAAAAATGTTATTTCAAAATGGAGAATTAGAAAAAGCACAGAAAATATTGATATTCCACTCCATATATATACAACATGTATATATTCTCAATACTTACAAGAGTTCTCAAAAAAAAATTGTCTAACTGCAAGAAGATGCTGGTAAAGATGACAATAATGAGGTACACAGATAAGGATTTTTCAGCTTAGGAAAAAAGAGACAGAAGTTAAACATGACAGAGCTCTCCAAAAATCACAGAATGATAAGAAGAATAAGAAGATACAGACAGCTGTTATTCCTGACACCGGAACCTGTAGGCATTAAAAGCACTTACTAGGAAGCAGCTTGAAAGCCAGCAGAAAGGAACAGAATATAAAAATCAGTTAAGTAAAATCACTGCTATAGGATGCTGTGGAAGTCAAAGGAATTTTAAGAAGTAAATTAAAATAAGTTAGAAACTAGTATGTGATCCAGCAAGTCCCTAAGCTGTTACTAGGACTGTGGGAACCCAGAAAAATATCATGCCAGAATCCTTCTATACTTGACTTTTTTGTTAATATTTTTTATCTAAACATTTTTCAGTGTCAATACATTGAAAAATATTCCTGTTACACTTATGGTCTATCCCAGAAAGGCATGCTCTATGTTCATCTGCACGAAAGCCATACACTCAAGAATATGGATTTTATTACAGGCAGAACTGGTAGCAATGCCTGCCTTTCAAGATCGCCTGCCATTTCCTGTTTAAGACTGTGTTTTCCATGTGCTTATGATTTGCCAAACCATAATTTAAAAATTCAGGCTGAGATTTTTGATTCTGACTATCTGCCTCAGGCTGAATATTTTTGGAAAGTTTAGAAAGTACTGCAACTTCTAAGATATGGTTAAAGAAAAGTATATTCTTCTATGCATATCTCCTTCCTATTCAGTCTCTCCTCAGTCTTGTGCTGCTAAACATCTCAGAGGATCTGCTGCTTCCAAGCTTATCCTCAAAGAATAAGTGGCTCCAGAGACAAGCATCTCAAGCATCACCGCTACCTGTCACAAACAGCACACAATATCATTTTAATTCTTGCATACTAAAGAGCAATAATAGCAAAGTTAGAGAATTGCCTTTTTGGATCTTTAAATCACAAGAATAACCACATTATTGTGAGCAATATTTAGCTTCTCTGAAGTTTACCAGCTTCTGTAGGACATTTGTCTCTAAAGCTCACCAAAAATGAAGGTACATTACCTTTTGGATATTTACAAATTACCTGCTTAGAAGAGATCACAGACTGATACAAGGGGGGGGTTGTTTTGTTTTGTTGTTGTGTTATCTCAGTGACTCAGGTAAACTGTCACCTATGTGTATTTAGTCATTTCATCAGATGCACAGAAGTACCATGAACTGAGCTATATTAAAACAAATCACTGAACTTATTCAAGTCTGCCTCAAAACAGATTCCCATTTTCTTTTTTGAATACATTTAAAAAATGAGAAGTAATATCAAGTTCTGTGAATGTTCATGAGTAAAGTTATAGAAGAAAGAGAACACATAAGCAGTGATCAACATCAAATTAAGTAGCAGCTATTTTGATTTCAGAAATGTAAAATTGTACAGATCACAGAACATAGCTCTATTATCTTGTCTCAATCATTGATGGAGGGGCACGCTTTGGCCAGTCACATTCAATGAGTGCTGAAGAATATTGAAATGAGTTAACTCGAACTGAGACTTTATCTGACTAAGAGACACACAAGAACCCAAACAGAAAAAGCTCTGATGTGGGAGCACGGGAAATAGGAAATAGCAATCTGCTCTTACAGATTGCTCTTGCTTTGTAAGTGCCTTGTTCTTGCCCCTACATGCCGAAAAGCGAGTTTGACAAATCTCAGATAATACAAACAAAATTTGGGAAAGGTAACACAATAATGAGAGATGTTAAGCCAACTGTTGCATCTGAAAGCAGTTAGGTAAGTCATTTTTTATATTACTTGCAGTAATTTTTACAGTGAACCCAGAAGAGCAGTGACTCAGCTTTTTATTTAATTAATTCATAATGATGTTAAGACTGCTTTAAATTGCATCTTTTTAAAATGTACGCAATGTCCAATGAATGAGAAATCATTTTGTGCAATGTGTGATGAATGTGAAGTTATTAACAGTTTTGCTTGTGTAACAGCTATCTTTATACACTACATCCTAGAAACAACAACTCTCTGCTTCTTCAGCAGCATGAGCACAGAGCTCTACACTGCAAAAAAAAAAATAGAACTACGTATTTAAGTTCTCCGCTTGTCTATTTCAGCAATCACTCTTTTGGCTTGACTAAAATTACACAGTAAAAAAGGAATAATTGCACTTTAATAGAAGGTTTTGGAAAGCCAACATGACAAATACTTCTATGGTTGAAGTAATCACTGTCCACTGGATAAATTTACTGACAACATAAATGTTAACGTTGCATTAAAAATCACTACTATGCAAAGGGTTGCACTGCATTTAAGCAACAAATGTATAAGTACACTCTAATCTAACAAAGATACAATTAAGGAAAGGATATCATCTCTGTTTTTCTAATCATTCTATATTTAATAATAGCTACATCAACTCCTTATTTGGTCTAAGACAGGCAAGACAAGGTTTTTCTGCAATGGAACTCTGCCAATACCTGACCACAACTCTGGTAGCTTAGGCAAGCTTCATACTGTTGAGTATCTTGGAAAGCTTCCTAAACTGACATTGCAGTACTCAGTCTTACTGCAAGTGCAGATGCAGTTCTACAGGCACTTGCACCAAGTTGTGAACAGAAGCATGTTTGACAAAAACAAAAACTTCCACTTTTTTTTTTTTTTTTTTTTTTTAAATCTCTGGACAGTAAAACATTTTTATTTTCACCTCTCATATTCAACCTGGAATAAAACTACCAGGGACTACAGGCACAGATAACATAAGATACATGATCGTTTTAACCTCCCCTGTCTTGTACCAAGTTACAACTTTTACCTTGTCTTCTTGTCCACCAGGATGTGGAAAACACTTAATTTTATGGTACTAACATTGTAGGTAATTTGCACTCACTGTTGTAATTCTTTATTATTTAATTCCTTATTATAGTTCCAAAATTATTGCTCAATTAGAAGACAACTGTAGTTGCATTCTGTAAGAAAATGCATTATTTATCCATTTTATTTGTTTAATATCCATTTTAATCACTATTCAGTATTGAAAGATCTTAAAAACATTTAAGGTAAAGGCTTTTAAACACTATTTTTCTATTTAAATGCAAAAACTATCAATATCTCCATTTAAATCCTCTTAAATATCTTTAATAGCATTACATGTTAAATCAGGATTTGTGATCCTTTTATACTGATGAATCATTTCATCTCAGTATTTATACAGCAATTATTATTTTAAGAACAACATAATCAAATTTAAAATGCCAAGCATACGTTCTTTTATACTCCATTCTTTGGCTCTACCATACTTATTTCCAAGGGAGAACAAAATAGCACTGTATCCATTCACTGCCACTCCAGATGACAGTTATTTGCAAGCTATTCATCAGTAGCTTGCTTCATACATTCTACTGTCAGACTGCACATCTCACTGAATTAAGTAAAAAACTAGAACTTCCTCATCTGAGAGAAAGATCACCTAGATTACTTTTCTGAAGGAAAAAAAAGACTATACATTGTATTTGTTTGGTTTTTTGTTTTGTTTTGTTTTTGTTTGTTGGTTTTTTACAAAGAACATTAGGAGTAAATGTTCAACTGTACCTGCATAGGACCTGGAATGCAAGACAAAACTCTTTCTATGTTTTCAGAATTCACATCAACATCATTTACAGCAACTAGAGCATCTCCTGGAGATAAAAGAGATAAAAGCATAAATTAGAGGCTATTACAGCACAGTACAAAGCCAAACAATGTTGTTTTAAAACTGAATATGGCATCCAATTAAAAATGACTTAACTGCATGTAAGTAGATGACATCTACTTGCAACATCTATTACACTTAGAAACAGCAGGCTGTTACTTGAATGCTCTCAAGTCCTTACTGCCATGCTTGTGCTGCTTTACAAAAATAACCAGCAAAGCCTTTTCCATCCATCCAGGTTTCAGTCCATCCTATTGATTCATTCCTCCTATATGCACTTGACAAGTTCCACGCCATTATTTACAGAAGAGGTTTCCAGCATCAGCTGAAGGAAAACCTCACCATCCCTTCCCCTTTTCTCTTTGAAGTAGTGCTGGCATTTCCCATGAACTTCAATAACAGCTTAGTTCAGTAAACAGGCAGAAAATCATCCACTCCCCATGTAGATAATTTTTGAATCCTAGATGCTCTAAATGAGTTCTTGAGTTAGCAGAAAGAAAAAGGACTGCATAGACAGTATGCGATACTTCAGCCACTGTCACATTGCAGTGGTGAGCAGTTAGTTTGGCAGATCATCTTGTGAAATGTTATTGATCTTCTTCAGAATCAGAGCTCCTTCATTTCATACCTACACCTCCTTGGTCTCCTAAGGCACACCACAATTTAGTGCTCTCCCTTCTTTCCCACACCTTGCCCCATTCTGAGGCTTCTTAGCCTTCTCCATATTTTTATCTCCAGTTCTTCCTGCCTAATGACACTTTGCATTTCACAGAATCACAGAATTGTAGGGGTTGGAAGGGACCTCCAGAGATCATCGAGTCCAACCCCCCTGCCAAAGCAGGTTCCCTACACCAGGTCGCACAGGTAGGCATCCAGGCAGGTCTTGAATTTACTAAAATTTTACTAAAATCAAGCTCTTTTTCCATTACTAAAAATAGAATTGCAAAACAGGATCCCACAGAAAGTCTTGAACTGCAGATGGAAAGGGATTGAAAAATTAAAGGCACATATGAAAAGCAAATAGAACTGAATTAAAGCTTACAAACTTAAAATCCATGCTCAACTGTAAGGTACAAAAATCAAAGTAGAATTTCTACTCACAGCAAGGGAAAATATTTTAGAGGTATTAACAATTTATAACAACTTCTGCCTTATTCCCCTCAAACAGATAGAGGGTTTAACAATGGAGAGTCCAAGAAAGACAAGAGAAATCGGTGAAAAAAAAATTGTTACTGCTCCTTTGGAGGACTTCTTTTTTCATCACTCACAAATACAAGTTGCTCCTGTACTAATCTGAAGCACTGTTTAAACAAAAAATTGTTTGTATTCTTTTTGTTCTGTTAGGGAAATTATGATAGGGAAATTCTACAATAAAGACAAAGTGTGGGCATCTGATCTTCTGCTCCACGATGGCGTTCAAACCAACTGCATATGCTTACTGAAGATATACGCACCTTAGCACTTAAAAGGAATGTTTTTGGACCACATCTGGTGGGATAGAATACACAAATCCACTTTGAAAGAAAATCCATCAGTATTTACACGCTTTAGACTCAAAGTGTTCCATTTATTTGACATCTAATGTATATCTGTAAAACTTTCATTGGAGAGATAAATATTTATTCCATTCAATTTGTAAAAATGTAATCATGTACCATAAATGGAACAGCTTTCCAGAAGACACTGCCAAAGCAGTCCCATAAGGCTACCTTCATTTTGCCAGAAAATGCAGTATCACTATGGAAGAACTGCAAATTGACATTGACTAAGAAAAACTCCACCCATCAGTACTGACTTTTCAGAGCAGAGATGGTGGGGCTCTTGGCCTTTTCACCAAGCAGAACAGAATTCAATGAACAGAGACTATTAAGTAACAGTGAAAGGCACTACTAGCTCAATAGCAAGTATGTAAAACTATGAACATGGAGCACATTAAAGCAGAACACAGCCACAAGATCTACTCAGGGTGGTAATTAATGACAGTAGAAGTTTATATATGCAAGTATTCCTTTGTTAATACTGCTTCCAACATTTTCTTTAAGAAACGTTTCTTTCCCTTTAAAGGCGTGAACAACTTAAAAGTGAGAGTGACTCAGGTTCTTAGATGTTAAATCCATCAAAAACTGTGTGCGAAATACAAAATTCAACGCCACTCATATTTTATCAATTTACATTAAATAAACTAAAAAAAAACGTAATTAGCAGTTTCTTAAACTTGGTAGTTTTCAGAGTTACGTCAATTTCCACAGACTAAAATGTAGCTGAATGACACACAGAAAGACATTTTGCAAGAACAGTTGTACAGGTGGCACTGCAAGTACATTTTTCAATCATTCTTGTGCTCTACAAAGTAAGTAAAAAAAAAAAACCTAAAAAGCACAATTGGCTTTTCTTAAGTACGCAGACTAAACTGAATGTTTCTGGTTTTGCTGAAGTAGACATTACAAGAGCACATGTTTCTACGAAATATTCTTTTGAAACTTTTTATAGAGAAACATAAAACTTTTTTCAGCTTTTTCATTAATACAGTTGCAAATTCAAATAATACTGCATAATAATATACTATGTAGAATAGCACTTGACCTGCTCTTATTGGCTTGCATTCTATAAGTCCCTCAGCTCGTTTTTGTCTGGCTTGAAAGACATGAGATGAAGAACATTAGGACAAGGTCTCATTTCCATTTTTAGAGAGATTTTGAGCAACTGCACTTGGCAAATTTTTTTTTTTCTTCTGACAGATCCAGGATATCAAACTTAGAGTCAATAAAAATATAGAAAAACATATCCTTCTCTTAAAGGAACACAGTAAGCTATTCACGTGCGTTCAATAAGAATGAATAATCAAGTTTTGAGTTCTATCATTTACTGCAAAAACTTGCTCCTAGTCCACAAACTATTAGATGTCCATATACATTCTCCACACAGTGCCAAAGAGAACCAAGAACTAAAGTGATGTAACTGACACAAAAGACAGTCGAGAATTTGTTCCTGTTTTCTTCATTCAGCCTTTTCAGTTTTATCTCAGTAGAAAACACTTCTCACCCACTGTTACCTAAGAACGTGTATTGATCTCAAACATGTGGCATGAAAGTGATTGATAGTTTTTTTCCCCATTTAAAGAAGATGAAGTTGAGTAAAGTCTCGGAACTGCTGGCATCACTAAGATATTTCTCTCAGGACAGATTGTCACTTTGTCCCATGAGGCACAGGTTTATTACCTTTGTTAAATATTGGTTCCACACAACTAAACCTGCACACCCCACTTCTAGAAGCAGAACTCTGCATTAGGCCAGAGGGTACTGGCTGATGAGTGAATGCCACTTCCATGCTGTGATGGCAAACGAACATTTTAATCTGAATTAAAAATCAGAGCCATGCCGTTCACATGGGAGAGGAATGAGACTTTTTTAATTTCATGCAATTTCCTCTGTTCTTAGTAATGGCTCAGTAAAAGTACTTATAAATACTCACACACTCCCTTCCAAAAAAGGCAAAGCATGGAACATATTTTACTGAAGAAAGCCAGATCAATTACTTGTTTTATGTGTTAGCAAGCTGCTTCGACCCAAACCAATGCTGTTATGCCTCAAGAGGAGATTAAAAGAACATAAACGACATCCCCAACTCCACAGTGAGAGCACAGCAAGGCTTACGCAAGCTCTGTATTTCTATCTTGTATGCTTAACATCTCTACATTGGAGAGACTTTTCAACAATACACCATATATGGCAATTTCCCATGGAAAATCTCAAACTCTTACAGCATTGTGGTCCTTTCAAGAACATTTTTCTGACAGAACTCTTAGCTCGTAGCAAATGACAAAAAGCAACAACAACCACCAATATTATTTACCTTAACTGTCAGAAGATGACTGCAAGCTGCTTACGTAAAAGGATTATTGTTTTAAACAACCAGTTCATGCTGCACTCTGCTTTCCAGCAACAACTGCCTGTCTTACCAATCTGTGATCAATTGCTGAATAACAATATTGTGCACAGGATTTGAGCTTTGGACCTCCAACAATGATTATCTGTGTTTTTACTATTCAAATGAAAGGAGAAAAGATTACTACTTGAACATTTCTTCATTCAGAGGAAATCAATAACCCTCCCACATAACACCAAGAGAATTAATAAAAGCCCACAGAAAACCTTTTGCCAATAAGGGGGTTTGGATCTGCACTTTTCAACTGATGCCTGCAACAGTAGCCTGCACCTTCTACACAGTTGCTCAGAATTGGATTATTACAGTCCACGTTTACTAACTTTCAGAAATAATCCCTCTCCCTAGGTAGTTCTTACAACTTTTTAACAGCTGAACCCACTGATCAGATGGGAGAATTTATGCATAGCATTCAGATGCTCAGTGACAAGTGCAATAATTATGAAAAATGATTTCAGAGAGGGTAAGGTGAAAGAGCTTTTCTGCATTTTCAGTGTCACTGGAATTACTTTTCCATTTATACCACAGTAAAGATGGTCATCAGCAGCAGTTACAGACAGTATCCCCTGCTGCGAATTGGATAAGTTTCAGTTTGGAGGGGAAAGGAAATCAAATTATACTGGCATTTCCTATTATAACCCTTATTTCCCTGGATCTAACAGTGAGTATTCGGTGGAGCTTTCTGTCTTTGAAGATGCATTCAAATATTTAACTATAAAGTTTTACATAGCAGAGCAGGCTTTGCATATTTTTATTAATAAACTCATATAAGAGAAATTATTCAAAAAAAAAAAAAACAAAAAACCAAAAAACCCTTAAGGTACATGAGATAAAGACAACTGTATCTCTTAACCCAAATGGAAGTGACAGCAAGAATTTTAAAAGCAGTGAGGATTTTTTTATTTGACAACTTAAGACTGATGGATTTTTAAATGCAAAAAAAACCCAACAACATTAAAAAGAACTGAAAAACAACAGAGTCCCATCTTTTTACAGAGGTAAAGCAGCAGTTTCTTAGCTTACAAAACTTATGTTTATGTCATACGGTCAGTGGCTGCATTCTGCTTGGTTGATAAAATATAGCAACAAGAATTATGACTTCCATGCCCACATTAAAAAAAGTAAAGTACACTCCACAAATAATAAACAGATGTTTTATTTTTTCATGTTTGGTGCTGTAAGGGATACATGTATCAGAATCAATTGAAGAAGTTATCAGAGGAAAGTGATTATTTACTGGGAAAAAAGCAGTTATTTTTATTCAAAATATTGAAGTAATAACAGCTTTTTAACTGGTCATTCAAAGTAGAAAATCAGCCTCCCTCATGACTTAGCAGCCACTTCAGTGGCAACCATACTTACTGCTGACAAATAACTAAGTTGCTAAGGAAAATACAAAGTAACCAGTAACTCCGTTATTATTTACCATATCACAAACACAAATCGTGAGGTGGAAAAAACCATAAAAATCTAGAGTGCTCAAATTTTAAGACCAGAGAGACAGACTGTGCTACTGGGCAGCCCTGCCACGATGTGGGGAGCTGGGTGCTGCAGCAGTGAGCTGTGTGGAAAGCCATGAACCACCTCCTGCCACTCAGCGGAGCAACTCACAGCACATCTAGCCCAGCTAGGGCAGCCAGTGGCACTTCTGCCCAAGTATTTAAGAGTGCAGCAGCCACTATAGGAAGGGCTGGGGCCCACAGAGGTTCTCACTCCTTGAAAGCTTAAGGCCTGTGGAAGCGTTATGATGCGGCAAAGTAAAACAAGAAGCAAGGGGTGGCAGAAGGAAGGCATCGCCCGTACGATCCCAGCCTCCTGCCCCATTCATTACCTTCCTGAAGAGATGGAGATGTGCAGTTAGCATATGGTAGGAACAGGGGGGCTGAGATGAGGAAGAGGGAGAGGAGAGGTGTTTGAGCACAAAGGAGGTAGGCAAAATGCACTTGCTAAATTGTTATTAGTTTTCTGTTCTGTTTCTGTCTTCTCAATACTGGAATGACTTCAAGTTTTACGTTGATTGACAACAGATCAAATTCAGGAACAATATGCTGAGACAGAAATGCCTGCAACAGCCACTGCAAGCTGGTCACCAGGAAACCCACTGCTTTAAAGCATGGCTTTTAAGAGGGAAAATATACTTGGCATTCACTTAAAAACAAAGAGCAAAGAAACAAAAATACTGATACAGAAATGGTCTGTATCACTCACTGCAGGTCATTAAAATATTAATTTAAAAAAAAAAAAAAATCATGAACAGATTAACACCTATGCATATGAAGGTCAAAGAAGATGAACAAAGTTCCAGTCAGTCAGCATCATGCCATACTGATCAGGTTTTAGACTGACCACAGAAATATATTTTACTGTGTTTGTCCACAATTCTGAATAGAATTCCTAAAACTCAGAAGCAAAGTTGTATTGACTTTTTTTCCTCAAATTTCTGTGCAACTTCAGCTCCTGTAAGGCCCTCCACTGAACTACATGGAAACTACAGTTTCTAAGTCAGGCTTTGGGTATATAATGTAACCCTCATCGTCCAAAGTCCAATACAGAGACAGTAAGCCAAGCAGTTTTTCTGAGAGAATCAAAATTATTTTTACTGTATATCTTTATGCTGACAGCACTGAAATCTAAACACCTAATTTATGCAAAGCTCTGTTTCTAGACACCACATAAAAATTTGAGAGTACTCAGTGTTCACTGTAGATGTGTAATTTTCATATAAAAATACTTGCAAATTATATATTTTATACTGTTGGCACAGAATACAGCTCATTTTCCCAACTGAAAGCTGGATAACTGTAACATGCTTGAAAATACTTCATTCCAACATCCCAAACCAAAGCACTATTGGTTGTCAGACCTATGACATGTGAAGTTGCTGGACTTTTTAGATTAACTTAAATGTAAACTTGTACTTAAGAGAAGACAAAACAAAAAACAAAATTGTGCTCATTCGCTCAAGAAAACACTGAATGCTGCAGATGATGTACCACTAGCACTTTCTCCTCGATTTGGTATGTGTCTATGTTGTTCTGACTTCACAGCTGCACTTACAAATAGGTGGTTACATAACAAACGTGTGTCCCAAAATTAACTTACAGGTTATAAATGCCCAGCTTGACACTAATCAGATTAAATACCATTAAGCACAGTAGGTCAAGCTGAAACTCTTCCTCCTCCCCCTCCTTCTTCATCACTTACTTCTTGACTAATCAGTTCTTTCTGGTAACATTTGAAAGCTACCCAATTCTCCCTCGAGTATTCTTTAGCAACGTACTGAAGATCTATTCTAAGAAGAATGAGCTAGTCAGAGCATGATTTGCATTTTTAACACACACAACATTGGAATTCCAAAAGCACTCATGCTGAGTCTGTGCGATTTGTGCTACTACAGTATTAAAATTTTCATGATCTTTTAACCAAAATCACATCTTTGCTTGCTCTTACTAGAGAGCAACTTCAAGGGCAATTAACCACCTTCCACCCCTTGCAGACACAAGTTAGCTGTCTCACATTTACAGTCTCTGAGGTTGGGAGTTCATGAGTACTAAGTCACTTATTTCAGTGGCTTCTTGATGCTGGAAATGGGAGCACATGCATCTGCTCCTTCACTACTGGCCAGGAAAATTCATTCCTGTATGCTGCTCAAGCTCTGGTGCCTGTCAGGCTTTCTGCAATCCGGTTTAACTCAGCACACCAGCAAAAACTAGATGAACAGTTTTTCTTCTGGGTTTATTTCCTGCCAGGTTACTTAGCTGCATCGCCTTACATCTCGCAAGAGCCAAACCAACACAAAAGAGCTGCTCTGCTAACTCACTGCCTTCTCATTCTGCAGCTGAGAGGCCTGCTGATCACAATTGCTGAAGAAGCTCTTCTCACTGCTAGACAGAAGAACAACTAAACAAGACTGTGAACAGGCAAAATCTAAAAAATACGCATTTACTCCACGCTTTTTCTCTCTTTTTTTGTGTGTGTCTCAAAATCCATATAAAGCGTATTCTAAGAAGACTGGTAGAAAAGAATAAAAGCAAAACACAATATTTGGCACACTCAAGTTTTTCCACAGGCGCAGTTATCTACAGAGTAAATGCTGCATTAAATTAAAGATGTAAAGCAGTACTTCTTTTTCCTAAATTGAAGATGCTTGCTCCTTGTAGGCTAAAGACACAATCATCTCCTTAATGCCTTCTGGTTTATGTCACATATTCTTAAAACCATTAATATAAAACACAGAATAGGTGACAAAACACCAAATGCAGTGACATTTACTTAAAATGGTACCTCAGGAATTTACAAAACAGTACTTGTAAGCATCACTTACATCTTGGGAGTACTCAAGGCAGCTGCCTCTCAAAAAACAAAATACAATAAAAATATTCATTTTAAAAGAAGAGCATGTTCACATGATTAACTTACCAATCAAGATTTGGCCTGTTTTCATTGCTGAACTGCCTGGCACCAAGCCGTGTACTACAAGCTTCTCTTCACTGATTCCTCTGGTAACCTTATCCTTCTTGCCTTGTTTTTCTGCTCTTCTGCTGCTCCATGAAGATTGATGGACAATTCCTACCAAGGCCTCTAGCAGCCTGTGCTGCTCATCTTCTGCAGCATTCTCCAACAGTTTTCTGGGATTTACATAAACATATATGTCTTTGTACTTCTGCTGTATTTCACCCATTTTCTGAGTGGAGTTATGTTTCAGTATGGAAGTTGGACCGCTGGAGCGCACATTACAGCTTCCACTTCCTTTCTTACTAGAATGCTTTGGTAAAAGATTCTTCTTCTTTAATATTTTTGTCAGTTTCTTCAGTTCATACTTTCTTTCTTTCCGTGATCCCTCTTGAATAACTTCCGCTTCATTTTCACGAAATCTGACATGATTCACCGATGGTATTTCTGGACAGGCATTCTGAAGTAAAGTTTCTTCCTCACTTTCGCTCATTTCTAAATAAAATAACTCCCCATTTTTCTGCACACGATCCAACCATTCAGGCTCAAGATCACTGGGAAACAAAGAAGAACAATCAGTGATAGCTCTGATAAGAAAGACTGCTCTGCCAGTCTTTCTACTCACTTATCTACTTACTTCAAGGGAAGGTATATGGAGAGTACAAGGCAAGAAAGTATATGATCTCCTGAATATTAAAAGTTTAATGCTTTAAGTTTGCTGTGGGAATGGGAAATCTTCCAGGACAGCTTTGGGAAGGAAAGACATCCCTTTCAAGCACTAAAACAGATTCTCCAAATGCCTTCCAATCATTGCAAAAAGTACTGTTATTGTTACTGACTTCTGTGGAAACAAGCAAAAAAAAAAATGTTTCTTTCACATCCAAGTTTTAATTAGTTTTAATTAGTAATTACATTCATGGGCATGAGGGGGATTTGAGAAAAAACAGCATCCTATTTGTTCTCTGCCATAATTTTTCCTTTATGCATTTATAGGTTGGACTGTACCGCAACCTCGCTGAAAGACAGGACTAGCATTCTTAAATCATCTTAAAATAACAAAAAGAAAGAACAAAATGAAATCCACATAACACTTTTTAAGACGTGTCAAAATAACACATTCAGATTTGCGTGCAAAAAATACAAAACAATAAAGTACAGAGGCAGCACTGCTACAGAAAGAGTTCTGGCAGCTGGAGTAGATCGCTAGCATCGAGATGCTGCATAGGAAAGGCAATGCAACTGCAGGATGGATTAACAGGAGTGCTGTCTGCAAGACATAAGAAGTTTTTATTCTAGTTTGGCAATAGTGATGTGTCAACCACGTCCAGCTTTGGATCATATAGTCTAAAAGAGACATAATAACTGGAACAGGCCCAGAGCACAGAGACAAATACAAAGTAGTTTATAAACATCTCTTAAATGGAAAGAAACTGAAGGAAACCACACTCTTTTGGCTGGGGAAAAAAAGAAGATAGCTGAGAAGGCAGCAGGGCAAATTGTCCACGCCACAGCACCAAAACCTCTAAGTGCTATCACAGGAGCACAAGGATCAGCAACCATCACAGCAGGGAAAGTCATCAGTGATTTAATTTATCAAAACATTTCAGGTGAACATTAGAAAGCTTCTGATTTCACGCACATAGAAGTCAGTATTAGCAACTTTGTGAAGAAACTCTAAGATATTCTGCACGAAAGATGCTCATGAACAGCCAAGAGCAGCTCAGGAATGCCTGAGGGCAGCCAGATCTCTGCTCTTGCCAATCTGAGACTGCCCCAACAGCAATCAAACAAGGAAACGCACAATGAAGACATACGTAATCATATCAATAATTGAGTAAAGCTAGCACACATTCATAAATCTAAAACAAGATAATTTGACTACATTGAGGAAGAAAGTTTCGTTTAAAACTAACATCAGCACACAACTTGAATAGTGCATTAATTAGAGAGCACAGCTGAGAAAGAACATAATAAAGACATCCCACCAGAGCACCTTTAGGACTCAGAGAAAAGGTCTGAGTGGAAAAAAGCAAAATAACAAAAAAAAAAACGCCCATAGAGATACCACTCCCTGCCTGGAACCGCAGGGACTTAGGTGCGTGTAAGGGTGCTGCAGGCAGGACAAACGTCATGCACTTCGCATTTATGCACTCTTGCCCAAAATGATGCTCGCCAACGCTCAGCCCATCCCCCCCCGCCCTGCGGGCTGCACCCCGCCCCGCCCTTACTCGGAGCTGCCCGACAGCGAGGTGCTATCCGAGCCGCTCTCGCTGCCGGTGTCCGCGCACCCCGCTCTACCACCCTGCAGCAGCTCCATGCCTGCGGCTGCTCCGCTCTCTCCGTCCCCCTCGGACGCCATGACTGCCCGCCCGCACGTGACCGGCGCAGCGCCTTCTGATTGGCGATTCCTCCCGGCGCCATGGAGACGCGGGAAGCGCGCGGCAGTGCCGCGCGCAAGAGTTAACGGTCGCGGCCCCGCCTGTGAGGTCCCCGCCAACGGTCGGGAAGCGTTAGTGCGATCTCGGGCTGGGAGGGCCGCTCTCCTCCGTGCTCGGGCTACACGGAGTAAGAGAGTCCTGGAAGCGCCCAGTCTCGCCCGTTACTCCCTCTGCACCCACGTCTGAGTCTCGGTGGACTTGAGCATCCTTCAGTGGGTCAGCACTGAAAACGTAATGGAAATAAACTGTTTGGTTGTCTGTTACCAAGGCCTCAGCAACATCCCCACAAAAGAGACTCTCGATGGAACCGCAGTCCCGGGCTGAACTCCAAAGCATTGCTTATAATCAAAAACTTATCTGGAGAAAGAAACTCCAATTAAAAACTGACTTTCACCATCAAACCGTTAGCAGCAGAATACATCCCATCGTCATTCAAAGAAGCACAAGAAACGAAGATGGCTTCTTAGCTTAGGACAGCAGGTAAGTGAGAAAGGGCAGGGATGTGAGGCACAGCCAAACCAGCTACGTGTTTTGGCCCCTGAAAGCAGTCAGTACACAGTAGAGAGATAGAAAAAACAAAAAAATGACTCAATTTTCAAGGCATTAATTATTCACATGCATGAAAAACAAGACCCATGGCAGCCCTGCAGGCAACTCACTGTGTAGCAGAGTCAGTAAACCTATCAAGACACGCATGGTGAATAAGGGAAGGGATAGAGAATAATTGTTGGAACATTTTTAATGTGTTGGATGTAATCTCTGCTCAGCAGGATGCTTGCACAGCCTCAGCAGTGAGGTTTTATAGCACTGCAGTATTTTGCTTGAGTTGCAGAACTCTGGTACGAGATTCCTGCCTTTGAAACTGTCTTAGGGAAGCATTTGTTGATCAAAGTGATTTTAAGTGAATTAACAGACAGGAATGGTTTGGACTTGTGTCCCAGTGATTCAACTTCAACCAGAGTAGTTAGAAATACCTACATCAAATGTTGTGGCAATTCTGAAATGTCTGTAGAAAAGCTTCTTTCAAGGAAATGTTACTGTTGTGTGGATTTTCTGAATAAACAACTATCCAAGGGAAGAAACAAACATTCCCTACCTAAAGAAAAAAAAAAAAAGGCAAGTTTGTTCCAGTATGATTTTATTCAAGTTAGGACAAGTCATGGTAGAAAGAGTGAAAAGAATTAACCAAGCTGGCAAAAACCACTTTATGCAGAGTATATCATTCATGCATGGTAGATGATTCTTAAAATAAATTATATCTGTTTCCAATTGCCAGAATGCAAGCTATGCACCAACTTTCATAATTTCTATTGCTTCCAGAAAAAAACAGGTGAAAAAAATGCTTTAGAAGTACCCAACTTTTCAAACAATTTACGGTGCAAAAACAGAATCTGCATAAACAACATTTCCCAAAGAGCCTGATGAGTTATGATTTTCTGGAAGGAATACTGCAGGAGTTACAATTTTAAAAGAGGCAGATGAGATACAGTCCCCATCCACCCTAATTCCACTACTATTTGCAAGCACTTTTAATACAGTAAATAGCACACTGAAGTGTTTCTGTAGAGAAGTTATAGCTGCCAGATTATCCTTTTACTTATGTCAAATTTCACTGAGTTCAAGAGTTGGTTAATTGTTTCCAGTTGTTTGTTCAATAAGTGAGAAACACAGGCTCTCCAAAAATTGGAGGCAGTCTTACACTGTTTGGTATTATACAGAGATGAACCTATTATGGAGGAAAGGATACTGGAAGATTTTAGTTCACTGAGATAGCTGGGAATCACTTAAGTGTTCTTCTGAAATGAATGTGGGGTTTCGGTGCTGTGGGAACAACTAAAAATTGAAGGATTTATCTCATGCAGCAGAATTTTATTTGAGTGAAGAAACATTCCCACACAATCCTGCTTAAGAAAGCTTCCCATCATTTCTTGGGCATAAATATTAGGAAAAGATTTAAAACAATTTGTCTTCTGGTAGATCCTTTACACTCAGTCCAAATGGTTGGGCTGATGCTTCTCACTGAAGCACCTCTAGCCCTTCTGCACTTGGCTGCTGTTGTTGACAAGCAGATGGTCAAAATACACCACAAGACATCATTGGCATCACTACTACTGCTCACTCTTACTGAACAACCGGATGATGGTCATTTAGAAGTGAATAATTAAAAGAGTAAAGAACCAGAAGAGTGCTTTTTAACACTTTTGCCTGAAGGTTTTTCTGGACGAACTAACTCATATGTTTGTAAATTGCTTGTTTCTTCTTAGCTTAATATCATGCTTCGAAACATATTGCACTCTAAAAATAAGTCTATTTTGACCCACATTTGTGTTCAGGAGCAGACTGTAGTTAAAAGGGGATAGTGCATAAGACACACCAATGAGGTATACTGGTCCTTTCTAACAAAGGAAAAAAAAAGCATACAACTCCAGTTTTGGTCTGGCTGAAGAAATACTTACCTCCTATTCCAATCCCTAACCATATACTTGACAATTTCAACTACTAACAGTTTTTCAGTGTTACACATCAACAACTGATTCCTCCACCCTGATGAAGAAACAAGGTGGGAACTGCCATCTTTCCTATTAGCTTTAAGAGCACAGGAAAAGTTAGGAGTTGTGTAACTAATCTGTCCTGTTGGGTTGCATATAGTTAATTCAAACTTCAGCAGTTTCATCAGGACCCACAATCAGACAGTATGTCAGATTTATTTCACTGACTCACATTCAAGAAGGTGTGCTGGGCCTGAATATGGATGTAGCTGCGCTCTGTTCAACACAAGGCTAAAAACAGAGGCAGCGTTAAGTCTTGTTTATACAGGAGCAAATTACTGCTCCATTCACCACAAGAGAACTCTGACTGACACTAAGAGCATCCAGTCTATGCCTATGAAGTGCCAATACACTAACCAGAAACTACATTGGATCACCGGGTGCCGAACCTTCAGCTGCCTCCTATGCCTCTTCAGGGTCATTTCCTCTGCTAAGTGGGGGTGAAGAGCAGAACTGACTGCAGCACCGTGGCAGTCAGTGGCAACAGCAATTGGCTGGCAATGTTCTCTAGTGATTGTACCTCACAATCTCACGGCTGAATCTGTTCTTCATCTAGTCACCATCTTT